GCACAAAATGATTTTCACCTCTGAATAAAATGCACAGTATCACCCCAACAAAAAATGCTTAGTATCACCCCAGCATGGAATGCCTAATATCACCCAAGGACAAAATGCCTATTATCTTCCTAGGACAAAATGCCTAGTATCATCCCAGCACAAAATTCCTATTATCACCTCAGGACAAAAAGCCTAGTATCATCCCAGCACAAAATGCCTAGCATCATCCCAGCACAAAATGCCTATTATCATCCCAGCACAAAATGTCTAGTATCATCTTGGGACAAAATGCCTAGTATCACCCCAGCACAAAATGCCTAGTATTACCCCAGCACAAAATGATTTTCACCTCAGGACAAAATGCGTAGTATCACCCCAGCACAAAATGCCCAGTATCACCCCAGCACAAAATGCCCAGTATCACCCCAGGACAAAATGCCCAGTATCACCCCAGCACAAAATGCCCAGTATCACCCCAGGACAAAATGCCCAGTATCACCCCAGCACAAAATGCCCAGTATCACCCCAGGACAAAATGCCCAGTATCACCCCAGCACAAAATGCCCAGTATCACCCCAGCACAAAATGGCCAGTATCATCCCAGCACAAAATGCCCAGTATCATCCCAGCACAAAATGCCCAGTATCATCCCAGGACAAAATGCCTAGTATCACCTTGGGACAAAATGCTTAGCATCACCCTGGGACAAAATGCCTTGTATCACCCTGGGACAAAATGCCTAGTATCACCTTGGGACAAAATGCTTAGCATCACCTTGGGACAAAATGCTTAGCATCACCTTGGACAAAATGCCTAGTATCACCTTGGACAAAATACTTAGTATCACATTGGGACAAAATGCCTAGTATCACACCAGGACAAAATGCCTAGTATCACACCAGGACAAAATGCCTAGTATCACCCCAGCACAAAATGCCTAGTATCACCCCAGCACAAAATGCCTAGTATCACCTTGGGACAAAATGCCTAATATCACCCTAAATGCCCAGTATCACCCCAGCACTAAATGCCCAGTATCACCCCAGCACAAAATGCTCAGTATCACCCCAGCACAAAATGCCCAGTATCATCCCAGCACAAAATGCCCAGTATCATCCCAGCACAAAATGCCCAGTATCATCCCAGCACAAAATGCCCAGTATCACCCCAGCACTAAATGCCCAGTATCACCCCAGCACAAAATGCCCAGTATCACCCCAGCACAAAACGCCCAGTATCACCCCAGCACTAAATGCCCAGTATCACCCCAGCACAAAATTCTCAGTATCACCCCAGCACAAAATGCCCAGTATCATCCCAGCACAAAATGCCCAGTATCATCCCAGCACAAAATGCCCAGTATCATCCCAGCACAAAATGCCCAGTATCACCCCAGCACAAAATGCCCAGTATCACCCCAGCACAAAATGCCCAGTATCACCCCAGCACAAAATGCCCAGTATCATCCCAGCACAAAATGCCCAGTATCATCCCAGCACCTTATGCCTAGTATAACCCTAGCACAAAATGCCTAGTATCACCCTGGGACAAAATGCCTAGTATCACCCTGGGACAAAATGCCTAGTATCACATTGGGACAAAATGCTTAGCATCACCCTGGGACAAAATGCCCAGTATCACCCCAGCACAAAATTCCCAGTATCACCCCAGCACTAAATGCCCAGTATCACCCCAGCACGAAATTCCCAGTATCACCCCAGGACAAAATGCCCAGTATCACCCCAGGACAAAATGCCCAGTATCACCCCAGCACAAAATGCCCAGTATCACCCCAGCACAAAATGCCCAGTATCACCCCAGCACAAAATGCCCAGTATCACCCCAGCACAAAATGCCCAGTATCACCCCAGCACAAAATGCCCAGTATAACCCTAGCACAAAATGCCTAGTATCATTTTGGGACAAAATGCTTAGCATCACCCTGGGACAAAATGCCTAGTATCACATTGGGACAAAATGCCTAGTATCACACCAGGACAAAATGCCTAGTATCACCCCAGCACAAAATGCCTAGTATCACCCCAGCACAAAATGCCTAGTATCACCTTGGGACAAAATGCCTAATATCACCATAAATGCCCAGTATCACCCCAGCACTAAATGCCCAGTATCACCCCAGCACAAAATGCCCAGTATCACCCCAGCACAAAATGCCCAGTATCATCCCAGCACAAAATGCCCAGTATCATCCCAGCACAAAATGCCCAGTATCATCCCAGCACAAAATGCCCAGTATCATCCCAGCACAAAATGCCCAGTATCATCCCAGCACAAAATGCCCAGTATCACCCCAGCACCAAATGCACAGTATCCCCCAGCACAAAATGCCCAGTATCATCATCCCAGCACAAAATGCCCAGTATCATCCCAGCACAAAATGCCCAGTATCATCCCAGCACAAAATGCCCCCTATCACCCCAGCACAAAATGCCCAGTATCACCCCAGCACCAAATGCCCAGTATCACCCCAGCACCAAATGCCCAGTATCACCCCAGCACCAAATGCCCAGTATCACCCCAGCACCAAATGCCCAGTATCATCCCAGCACCATCCCAGCACAAAATGCCCAGTATCATCCCAGCACAAAATGCCCAGTATCATCCCAGCACAAAATGCCCAGTATCATCCCAGCACAAAATGCCCAGTATCATCCCAGCACAAAATGCCCAGCATCATCCCAGCACCGAATGCCCAGTATCACCCCAGCACCAAATGCCCAGTATCACCCCAGCACCAAATGCCCAGTATCATCCCAGCACCAAATGCCCAGTATCATCCAAAATGCCCAGTATCATCCCAGCACAGTGGCGCGGTGATTTATGTCACAGGCGTGAGGGGAAGTTAAGTCCAACATGATGTGTATAAGGAGATACTCCGTACGTCACTCGGGCGCCAGTCCTTTAATATCCTGGTTGTACGAAACCTCACGCAAGACCCCGGCAGCACGTCCTCGTCGTGCGCCACGGATAATGTCTCAAATGAGCATTAACAGAGCTGTCAGGGGATCTCGGAGTTTGGCGGCCCCCAGAGGTGATGTGTCCTTGTGGCTCTCATCAGCCCGCCCCCAAACGCTTGGGTGAAAAATGTTATTTTAACTCATTAGGAACAAGAGTAGGTCTGCCAAACGTACAGCCAAAATTACAACCCTTGGTTAAAAGACTGCGGAGTAAAGAGAACATTGTTCACTGCACATCCTCTGTTAACCCTCAGTGTCGTCACATCCATCTGGCCATTCATGTTCCTCGGTTAACCCTCAGTGTCGTCGTCACCGCGCTGGGGTACACCACAACAGCAACCATCCATAGGCTGGCCATTCATGTACATCCTCGGTTAACCCTCAGTGTCGTCGTCACCGCGCTGTGGTACACCATAACAGCAACCATCCATCGGATGGCTAAGCCTAAATGTCCGACAAAACTAGATCATACGGATCAAAATCTGCCCTCAAAATTTGTATTGAACTGAAAAAGACCGAATGTCCACACCCAAAGACCCCACTCGCCCGATTGTTGGGACAAAACTGATACGATATGCCTGGAGCAGGATGTAAAATTCTGTCGGGCTAACGGCTCGTCAAAGAAATCTAACGTGCGAAGAAAAAGAATGTACCTATCTGTGTGGTCACAAAAGTCCAAAACCCACGGGCTGCTCCCCGCTGACTTCCAGAGGGCGCAGCCCCTGTCGAGCGGGAGGCCTGATACGGTTGTGAGGTTAAGCAGGCATGTGCAGGACGTGACGATTCCTTGGGTGAGCCCAGAACCAGAGCGCCATGTGCCGGCTCTTCATACATGGATGCCTCCTTGGATGGCGGGGAATGCCCATGATCTGCCCCTGCCTTCCCTTGAGGGCTAACTGCTCCACAGGGGGCTGACCCAAAGGGGTACTCCGGGGGCAATACCTGCGGCAAAGAAGACAATGTGGACACCACACAAATCAGGCAACGTCTCGACCCACACAAAACAATGGCCACAGTCACCCTAGAAATAGGCCTGACGTCTTCCTTCGAAGTCGGCGTACAGCTGCCCATGAGGCAGGGAAATGAAAAACGGTTGTACACGCAAAAATCAGGTCCAGGTGAAAGCCAAAAGTCCAAGCGGACGATTACCTGACCTTCCACTGGAATTCACAGCCGGTGTTCGATGAAAAAAAGGAAGAGATCCCAGCACAATATGTCCAGTTTTACCCCAGCACCAAATGCCCAGTATCATCCCAGCACCAAATGCCCAGTATCATCCCAGCACCAAATGCCCAGTATCATCCCAGCACAAAATGCCCAGTATCATCCCAGCACCAAATGCCCAGTATCACCCCAGCACAAAATGCCCAGTATCACCCCAGCACAAAATGCCCAGTATCATCCCGGCACAAAATGCCCAGTATCATCCCAGCACAAAATGTCTAGTATCATCCCAGCACCAAATGCCTTGTATCACATCTGTACAAAACTATCATTGTTATCTGACCGAGTGTTTACAATGCTGGGCTCTCATCTTGAAACTGTGGTTTGACCTCTTAGTAAGGTGATTATGCTTTTTCTGTAAAAACAACTTCTTAAGGATACAGTTTGTACTGCTGCTCTAGCCATGTTGTCCTACTTTCTTCTGCTTCGTGTGGAGCAGCTGTAAACTGTGGTGGAAAGTTCTAGTTGTTCATCTACTTCTAGACTTTAGTCATGTTCCAACACTAGAGTTTCGCTTGCAAATCTGTTCGATAGATCTAGTAATTTGTATGTAGTCTGTTGGTTCTTTACCTCACAGGCAGAGGCACTAGGAAGTGCTTGATTTGGGAGCACTGTTTCTATCCACTCCCCCAGAAATGGGGCACTGGAAACCATATGGTGAATACATGCAACCCTATATCCTAAGATTTAAAATGACTGCTCTAAAATGGGGTTTATTAAGAGAGTAGAAGAAGACAGTGGATGCTTTGTTGAGTGGTGTTCTCTGGCCTCACGTAGTGATGATGGTGTTGATCTTTCCCTGACCAGATTTGTTCCAGATGCTGTTCCGACAGGACCTGCTCGTGGCCAGTTTGTTTCGAAACTTCCTGCTGGCTGAGAGAATCATGAGATCATACAACTGTGTGCCAGTCTCCAACCCAAAGCTACCTCCAACACATCAGCATCCCATGTGGTAAATGTTGTTTGGTGCACACCCATATCAACATCCCAAATGTTGCTGCTTTGTGTGCCCGGGGTCGCACACACACACATACACACACACAATCCCAAGTGGTCAGTTTTGTTTTGTGCACACCCATATCTACATCCCAAATGTTGCTGCTTTGTGTGCCCGGGGTCGAACACACACACATACACACACACCATCCCAAGTGGTCAGTTTTGTTTTGTGCACACCCATATCTACATCCCAAATGTTGCTGCTTTGTGTGCCCGGGGTCGCACACACACACATACACACACACCATCCCAAGTGGTCAGTTTTGTTTTGTGCACACCCATATCTACATCCCAAATGTTGCTGCTTTGTGTGCCCGGGGTCGAACACACACACATACACATACACACACACCATCCCAAGTGGTCAGTTTTGTTTTGTGCACACCCATATCTACATCCCAAATGTTGCTGCTTTGTGTGCCCGGGGTCGAACACACACACATACACACACACCATCCCAAGTGGTCAGTTTTGTTTTGTGCACACCCATATCTACATCCCAAATGTTGCTGCTTTGTGTGCCCGGGGTCGCACACACACACATACACACACACCATCCCAAGTGGTCAGTTTTGTTTTGTGCACACCCATATCTACATCCCAAATGTTGCTGCTTTGTGTTCCCGGGGTCGCACACACACACATACACACACACCATCCCAAGTGGTCAGTTTTGTTTTGTGCACACCCATATCTACATCCCAAATGTTGCTGCTTTGTGTGCCCGGGGTCGAACACACACACACACAATCACACACACCATCCCAAGTGGTCAGTTTTGTTTTATTCCTCCCCCCTCCCCCCACTACATACATGCGCACAACCCCCACCAGAAGTATGTTGTTTTGTCCACACAGACATTACTATCTCAGGTGGTCAGTGTTTTGTCCACACAGACATTACTATCTCAGGTGGTCAGTGTTTTGTCCACACGGACATTACTATCTCAGGTGGTCAGTGTTTTGTCCACACAGACATTACTATCTCAGGTGGTCAGTGTTTTGTCCACACAGACATTACTATCTCAGGTGGTCAGTGTTTTGTAAAAGTGGTGCTAGGTCCATATTCTAATCAATCGGTCATCACTGGCTGGGTGAGGTCACTTTACAGGTAGCCATTTTAGGCTGACCTGGGAGCCAGGGTCACTGGTGGAACATCTTCCATCAGACATGGACAAAAACAAGCTTGTGGTGGGGGGGAATTTCAGCCATAAAAAAAGGTAAAGTTAAGGCTTTTGTGTTATGAATAAAGGAGTACGCAGTACCTTGTCTCAGGTGCCAGCAGGCTCTTCACAGCTTTTACGGAACCCAATGCAAAACTCCTGCCACATATCCTTGACGTCCACTGTAAACAAAGCTGGCCAGGGATCTCTGAGCTGATCATCCCCAGAGATGCAGTGCTCATCACCCCACCCTCAATGCCTATGTGATTATTTTCAATCGGATAATGAGTAAAGTCCACTGACCAAGTTTCCTAGTAAATGGCAAATGTTAGTTCAAACATGTGTCCATTGAGAATCTGCCTTATACACACTACACAGCACAACAGCCTTAACTCTTTCAGACTCATAAATTTTGACAGACTTGGTCCACATAAATTTTCCGTTACAAAAATGACAGAGGGGATGTTGTACAAGAAAGGCAATAGAGAATGCAATATACTTCAAATCCCTGAAAAAAGTATATATTTTTTTTTAAAGAGAAATTAATGTAAATTTTAAATCTGATAATAGGTGTATGTTTAATTTTGTTATAGTTAATAGGAAAAAAGAATTCAGCAAGTGTTAATTTCACAACAACAACATTTTACAAACAAATTCTTCACTTACCATGGTTTTGCAGCCACAAGAGTATGGATATATTCAAATTTGAGAACAAAACTTTAAAGTTTGTTTGATTTCCTAACGAATTCCAAAGTTATGACAAGTTTCTGGGTTAGTTTATCACTCAGGGGCACTTAGTTCTCACAGAGGGCTGAGCAAAATTTCAGAGAAAAAAATGGCAGAAAAATAGGCCATTATACACGCGCACACTGTTTATTATTTACTTTGTACAGTTATATACAGACTGTAGCTGCACTGATTTCAATGAAGCTTAGCCATAGTATAGTACTGTCTCTTTTTTGTGTGTGTTGATCACTGTCCTTCTCTTACACCATAAATATGGTAGCAATGGGACATTGTGTAAACTCATCAGAATCACTAGATTCCCAACAACTGATCACTCAGCCTCGCTGGTGAAAATTCAACATCCAAATCACTTTCTGAAAAATCTAAATTTTCATTATCATTATCAGAATTAAAAACATCTGACGGAAACAATTTCAGAGCTTCGGCCGCAGAAAGCCGCATTCAGCCACTTGAACCTGTGGTTGAAACATTGATATTCATGGCACTCAAAAATGGACTTAGAAAATGCACTGCTGAAAAAAATGTAGCTGTGAATCTGATGAATCTATGCACGTGTGGCTTGGGATAGGGAATGTTGTTAAAATGAAATCGTTAGAGTGACTTTCCCTGAATACTTTAATCGTAGTTCCAATATTAGAAACAAGTGCGGAGCCATGTGCGAAGCAATGTGTGTGGGGCACACGATTGACGATGAAAGCGTTGTTTAGGCAAAGCTGAACTTCTCAACGCTTACACAAAATCATTAAATGACAGATGATGATACAACATTGAGGCTGTGCAGCATTTCACAGAACTAACTGGAAAGATTAACAAGGGCACCAAAGGCCTGATGAACTCAGATGTGTTGGCTAAAAAGGCACAAAAGTTGCATCTGTGATGTAAACAAGCACAGTTCAATTACATCACTTGGACCAATGATGATGATGAAGAAGAAACAAACTCAGACACATGGAGTGGTTTTTTTTTTAAAGCTGAAATATTGTTGATGTAACAGAGTACATGAATTGAGAATACAATGTTCTGATCTAGTCTGGTGTGATAGATGTCTGGTGTGATAGATGTCTGGTGTGATAGATGTCTGGTGTGATAGATGTCTGGTGTGATAGATGTCTGGTGTGATAGATGTCTGGTGTGATAGATGTACTTGAAACTAAAGTTTGCCCACCTGCTGTGTTACCTAGGCAAGCATGGGACATGGCACTTGACCACTGCCTACAGCAGCTGACGGCCAAAACCCTCACTGACAGCATGACCTTCACTCACAGCACCTTCTTTGGTGAGCAGCTGACCGCTTTCAAAGTCTGGCTGGACAACGGGTCTGAGTCGCGGCGGCCACCTGAACAGTTGCCTATAGTTTTACAGGTTTGTTTTCCTGTGTTGGTGAAATTTTTGCTGCGGTTGATTCGTTGTAGTAGAATCTGCTGAAGGGAGATTTTTACACCCGTGTAGGCAGAGATGTGTGGTCATCTAGGTAGAGATATGTGGCAGAGATGTGTGGGCATGTGGGCAGAGATGTGTGGTCATGTAGGCAGAGATGTGTGGTCATGTAGGCAGAGATGTGTGGTCTTGTATGTAGAGATATGTGGGTAGAGATGTGTGGTCATGTAGGCAGAGATGTGTGGTCATGTAGGCAGAGATGTGTGGTCATGTAGGTAGAGATGTGTGGTCATGTAGGCAGAGATGTGTGGTCATGTAGGCAGAGATGTGTGGTCATGTAGGCAGAGATTGTGGTCTTGTATGTAGAGATATGTGGGCAGAGATGTGTGGTCATGTAGGCAGAGATGTGTAGTCATGTAGGTAGAGATGTGTAGTCATGTAGGTAGAGATATGTGGGCAGAGATGTGTGGTCATGTGGGCAGAGATGTTTGGTCATGTAGGTAGAGATGTGTGGTCATGTAGGTAGAGATGTGTGGGTATAGATGTGTGGTCATGTAGGTAGATTTGTGTGGTCATGTAGGTAGAGATGTGTGGGCAGAGATGTGTGGTCATGTAGGTAGAGATGTGTAATCATTTAGGTAGAGATGTGTGGTCATGTAGGTAGAGATGTGTGGTCATGTAGGCAGAGATGTGTGGTCATGTAGGTAGAGATGTGTGGGCAGAGATGTGTGGTCATGTAGGCAGAGATTTGTGGTCATGTAGGCAGAGATGTGTGGTCATGTAGACAGAGGTGTGTGGTCATGTAGGTAGAGGTGTGTGGTCATGTAGGTAGAGGTTTGTGGTCATGTAGGTAGAGATTTGTGGTCATGTAGGTAGAGATTTGTGGTCATGTAGGTAGAGATGTGTGGGCAGAGATGTGTGGTCATGTAGGTAGAGATGTGTGGGCAGAGATGTGTGGTCATGTAGGTAGAAATGTGTTGTCATGTAGGTAGAGATGTGTGGTCATGTAGGTAGAGATGTGTGATCATGTAGGTAGAGATGTGTGGGTAGAGATGTGTTCTCATGTGGGTAGAGATGTGTCCTCATGTGGGTAGAGATGTGTTCTCATGTGGGTAGAGATGTGTGGTCATGTAGGTAGAGATGTGTGGTCATGTAGGCAGAGATGTGTGGTCATGTGGGTAGAGATGTGTGGTCATGTAGGCAGAGATGTATGGTCATGTAGGTAGAGATGTGTGGGCAGAGATGTGTGGTTATGTAGGTAGAGATGTGTGGTCATGTAGGTAGAGATGTGTGGGCAGATATATGTAGGCAGAGATGTGTGGTCATGTAGGTAGAGATGTGTGGGCAGATATATGTAGGCAGAGATGTGTGGTCATGTAGGTAGAGATATGTGGGCAGAGATGTGTGGTCATGTAGGCAGAGATGTGTGGTAGGGTTGTACCAAATATTCGCTTCGTATTCGCTTCGGGTCCGAATAGTGGATCTATTGACTTTTCTGTATTCTGCCGAATAGTTGCGATTGGGCCGAATATGAATAGTAGTTACCTTACACCCGCTACTACATACACGGCCTTAATACTGACAACATAGAACGATTGGTTTTGTTTAAAGCTAATGCAGCATTCATGCAATAACTAAGCTGTCAGTGACAATTTCCAAGTTTAGTTACTTGTTATAATACTTAGGATTCTTTCATTCCTAGTTATTAGTTACCACAGACTGACTGAAAAACATAAAATGTTTTTAAATGTTTACTATTCTGTACGTATACTAACTAGACATGGAAAGAATATAAACTCCGGCCACATCCAATTTGATAATATGAAAATCAAACAAAAGGAAATATATAAGTATTTGGGTGCAAACTTCAACTGCTCCAACATGCTGAGAGAAGAAATAGAGTCTTGAATGCAATCTAGAAATAAAGTATACTATGCCCTTCAACATCTGCTAAAGTCAAAGTGCTGTCTCGCAACACCAAGATCAAAATATATAAAATGTTGAAAAGACCAGTCGTTTTATATGGCTCTGAAACTTGAAGCAGAAATAAAAGAGATGAGGCCTTATTACAGTTTTTCGAAAACAGTCTTAGACAAATCTTTGGACCCATCAAAGATGCTAACAGCGGGGAATGAAGAGTGAGAAGCAACAACGTAATGCATAATCTGTTTAAATCACCATTGATCACTGGCATCATGAGAGCTAACAGACTAAAATGGTTAGGGCACATTGAAAGAATGTCAGATGACAGAGAAGTAAATATACATCTGAGAGAGGAATAGGCGTAGACAACGAGGCAGACAAAAAACAACTAGTGCCACAAATTGTGAAGAGAAGGCCAGGCAGAGAGATGAATGGAGACGAGTGATATCTGCAGCAATAAACCTCAAGGGCTCAGAATGCTAGAGAAGAAGATGACTATTCTGTGCTACTTTATGTGAATTAAAAGTTCAGCGTACATTTGACATTATGAATGTGTGTGTTTTAGATATATTTTATACACTATACACTATTTGTATTCTTATCTGTATTCGGTCGAATAGTTGGTCCCGTTATTTGTATTCGGCCGAATAGTGAAAATCATTATTCGGTACAGCCTCAATGTGTGGTCATGTAGGTAGAGATGTGTGGTCATGTAGGCAGAGATGTGTGGTCTTGTAGGCAGAGATGTGTGGTCTTGTAGGTAGAGATGTCTGGGCAGACATGTGTGGTCATGAAGGCAGAGATGTGTGGTATTGTAGGTAGAGATATGTGGGCAGAGATGTGTGGTCATGTAGGCAGTGATGTGTGGTCTTGTAGGTAGAGATGTGTGGGCAGAGATGTGTGGTCATGTAGGCAGAGATGTGTGGTCATGTGGGCAGAGATGTGTGGTCATGTAGATAGAGATGTGTGGTCATGTAGGCAGAAATGTGTGATCATGTAGGTAGAGATGTGTGGGTAGAGATGTGTTCTCATGTGGGTAGAGATGTGTGGTCATGTGGGTAGAGATGTGTGGTCATGTGGGTAGAGATGTGTTCTCATGTGGGTAGAGATGTGTGGTCATGTAGGTAGAGATGTGTGGTCATGTAGGCAGAGATGTGTGGTCATGTGGGTAGAGATGTGTGGGTAGAGATGTGTGGTCATGTAGGCAGAGATGTATGGTCATGTAGGTAGAGATGTGTGGTCTTGTATGTAGAGATATGTGGGCAGAGATGTGTGATCATGTAGGCAGTGATGCGTGGTCTTGTAGGTAGAGATGTGTGGGCAGAGATGTGTGGTCATGTAGGCAGAGATGTGTGGTCATGTAGGCAGAGATGTGTGGTCATGTAGGCAGAGATGTGTGGTCTTGTAGGTAGAGATGTGTAGGCAGAGATGTGTGGTCATGTAGGCAGAGATGTGTGGTCATGTAGGCAGAGATGTGTGGTCTTGTAGGCAGAGATGTGTGGTCATGTGGGCAGAGATGTGTGGTCATGTAGGCAGAGATGTGTGGTCATGTAGGCAGAGATGTGTGGTCTTGTATGTAGAGATATGTGGGCAGAGATGTGTGATCATGTAGGCAGTGATGTGTGGTCTTGTAGGTAGAGATGTGTGGGCAGAGATGTGTGGTCATGTAGGCAGAGATGTGTGGTCATGTAGGCAGAGATGTGTGGTCTTGTAGGTAGAGATGTGTGGGCAGAGATGTGTGGTCATGTAGGCAGAGATGTGTGGTCATGTAGGCAGAGATGTGTGGTCATGTAGGCAGAGATGTGTGGTCTTGTAGGTAGAGATGTGTGGTCATGTAGGCAGAGATGTGTGGTCATGTAGGCAGAGATGTGTCATCATGTAGGCAGAGATGTGTGGTCATGTAGGCAGAGATGTGTGGTCATGTAGGCAGAGATGTGTGGTCATATAGGCAGAGATGTGTGGTCATGTATGTAGAGCTGGCTGGTCAGATAAGTAATGTCACATAGTTGATAGGGCTATAGGTAGAACATATGAGTAGATAATCAGAAACAAATGGTAGCACAATAGCTATCCTACTGACCTTCTGCCCAGTTACCATGGAAACAAGATATCTGAGAAGGGCTACAGGAGTGACCAGAAGAGACAAAATCAGAAGTGGTGTTATCAAAGAACAAGTTAGCACGGAACAAATGATCAATTCCATAAACGACAGCAAATTAAATGGTTTACCCACCTAGAGAGAATGTCCTGTGACGTCGTAGCAAACAAGGCATACACTGAGAGAATGTCCTGTGACGTCAAACAAGGCATACACAGAGAATGTCCTGTGACGTCATGGCAAACAAGGCACACAATGAGAGAATGTCCTGTGACGTCATAGCAAACGAGGCATACACTGAAAGAATGTCCTGTGACGTCATAGCAAACAAGGCATACACTGAGAGAATGTCCTGTGATGTCATAGCAAACAAGGCATACACTGAGAGAATGTCCTGTGACGTCATAGCAAACAAGGCATACACTGAGAGAATGTCCAGTGACGTCGTAGCAAACAAGGCATACACTGAGAGAATGTCCTGTGATGTCATAGCAAACAAGGCATACACTGAGAGAATGTCCTGTGATGTCATAGCAAACAAGGCAAGCACTGAGAGAATGTCCTGTGATGTCTTAGCAAACAAGGCATATACTGAGAGAATGTTCTGTGACGTCATAGCAAACAAGGCATACACTGAGAGAATGTCCTGTGACATCATAGCAAACAAGGCATACACTGAAAGAATGTCCTGTGACGTCAAACAAGGCATACACTGAAAGAATGTCCTGTGACGTCATAGCAAACAAGGCATACACTGAGAGAATGTCCTGTGACGTCATAGCAAACAAGGCATACACTGAGAGAATGTCCTGTGACGTCATAGCAAACAAGGCATACACTGAGAGAATGTCCTGTGACGTCATAGCAAACAAGGTGTACACTGAGAGAATGTCCTGTGACGTCGTAGCAAACAAGGCATCCTCTAGAAGAGGAGATGGGCAGAGAACACAAGGTAAACCAAGAACATTGAAATGAGTCTATGATCCTGGTGATCAGAGAAAGTCTACAACAGCACAGTGAGTCTATGATCCTGGTGGTCAGAGAAACTCTACAAACAGCACAGTGAGTCTATGATCCTGGTGGTCAGAAGAACAGGACGCACAACTGTTTATCTCTCTCGACACGTGAAGTGGTGAAAGCAGAAGTGAAGAAGGAGAATATGTTTGTTCACCATGGATTTTTTCTTCCTTAAATGGGCACATACTCTTAGGCGAACGCCACCTAACATTAGTGCATGGAAATGTTTTGGGAAGTCAAGGCGGTCTGCATCATATTGACTATATCACAATCAAAAGTCACATTCTCTGTTAAAGTCTGTGGCCAGCACTGTTTACCTGTTGTGCCTGAAGATAGTCACATGAGTTCATGAGTTAGTTTTTATGTTTGTTTTATTAATCTTTCAATTTATGCTAGACTTATTTTTTAAAACGTTGGATAAGTCCTTTCTGGCCTTCCCTTGTCTCTTTTGTGTCTGTTTGCTGCACCAATGTAATGTCTGGCTACAGACACACTCAGCCAAGTTTGTATGTCTCCCATGTAATGTCTGGGTACAGATGACTGAACCAAGTTTATGTTTCTCCCACTAATGTCTGTAAACAGACACACTGAGCCAGGTTCATGTGTCTCCCAAATAATGTCTGTGTACAGATACATGGCCACAGTCACCCTAGAAATAGGCCTGACGTCTTCCTTCGAAGTCGGCGTACAGCTGCCCATGAGGCAGGGAAATAAAAAACGGTTGTACGCGCAAAAATCAGGTCCAGGTGAAAGCCAAAAGTCCAAGCGGACGATTACCTGACATTCCACTGGAATTCACAGCCGGTGTTCGATAAAAAAAAAAAAAAAAACTGAGCCAAGTTTATGTTTCTCCCACTGTCTGTGTACAGAGACACTGAGCCAGGTTTGTGTGTCTCCCAGATAATGTCTGTGTACAGTCACACTGTTTATGTCTCCCAGATAATGTCTGTGTACAGACACAATGTTTATGTGTCTCCCAGATAATGTCTGTGTACAGACACACTGTTTATGTGTCTCCCAGATAATGTCTGTGTACAGACACACTGTTTATGTGTCTCCCAGATAATGTCTGTGTACAGATACTCTGAGCCAGGTTTGTGTGTCTCCCAGATAATGTATGTGTACAGATACACTGTTTACGTGTCTCCCAGATAATGTCTGTGTACAGACACACTGTTCGTCTCTCAGATAATGTCTGTGTACAGAGACACTGAGCCAGGTTTGTGTGTCTCCCAGATAATGTCTGTGTACAGACACACTGTTTATGTGTCTCCCAGATAATGTCTGTGTACAGATACTCTTAGCCAGGTTTGTGTGTCTCCCAGATAATGTATGTGTACAGATACACTGTTTACGTGTCTCCCAGATAATGTCTGTGTACAGACACACTGTTTATGTGTCTCCCAGATAATGTCTGTGTACAGAGACACTGAGCCAGGTTTGTGTGTCTCCCAGATAATGTCTGTGTACAGACACACTGTTTATGTGTCTCCCAGATAATGACTGTGTACAGACACACCGTTTATGTGTCTCCCAGATAATGTCTGTGTACAGATACACTGAGCCAGGTGGGTGTGTCTCCCAGAAAATGTCTGTGTACAGATACACTGTTTACGTGTCTTCCAGATAATGTCTGTGTACAGACACACTGTTTATGTATCTCCCAGATAATGTCTGTGTACAGATACACTGTTTATGTATCTCCCAGATAATGTCTGTGTACAGATACACTGTTTACGTGTCTCCCAGATAATGTCTGTGTACAGATACACTGTTTATATGTTTCCCAGAAAATGTCTATGTACAGATGCACTGAAACAGGTTTATGTGTCTCCCATATAATGTCTGGGTACAGATGACTGAGCCAAGTTTATCTGTCTCCCAGATAATATCTGAGCTGATAATGTCTGTGTACAGATACACCGAGCTAGATTTATGTGTCTTCTTGATAATGTCTGTGTACAGATACACTAAGCCACGTTTATGCGTCTCCCAGATAATGTATGCGTACAGATACACTGAACCAGCTTTTTTCCCCCAGATAGTGTCTGTACAGATACACTGAGCTGGGTGTGTCTCCCAGATAATGTCTGTGTACAGATACACTGTGTATGTGTCTCCCAGATAATGTCTGTGTACAGATACACTGTGTATGTGTCTCCCAGATAATGTCTGTGTGCAGATACACTGTGTGTGTCTCCCAAATAATGTCTGTGTACAGATACACTGTGTATGTGTCTCCCATGTATCTGCCTATAGATACACTGTTGATGTGTCTCCCATGTATCTGCCTACAGATACACTGTTGATGTGTCTCTCATGTATCTCCTACAGATACACTGTTGATGTGTCTCCCATGTATCTCCTACAGATACACTGTTGATGTGTCCCCCATGTATCTCCTACAGATACACTGTTGATGTGTCCCCCATGTATCTCCTACAGATACACTGTTGATGTGTCCCCCATGTATCTCCTACAGATACACTGTTTATGTGTCTCCCATGTATCTCCTACAGATACACTGTTGATATGTCCCCCATGTATCTCCTACAGGTACTCTTCAGTCAAGTTCATCGAGTCCAAGCTTTAGATTTGTTGGGCAGATTTCTAGACCTGGGCCCCTGTTTATGTATCTCCCAGATAATGTCTGTGTACAAATACACTGTGTATGTATCTCCCAGATAATGTCTGTGTACAGATACACTGTTTATGTATCTCCCAGATAATGTCTGTGTACAGATACACTGTTTACGTGTCTCCCAGATAATGTCTGTGTACAGATACACTGTTTATGTTTCCCAGATTATGTCTATGTACAGATGCACTGAAACAGGTTTATGTGTCTCCCATATAATGTCTGGGTACAGATGACTAAGCCAAGTTTATCTGTCTCCCAGATAATATCTGAGCTGATAATGTCTGTGTACAGATACACTGAGCTGGGTGTATGTGTCTCCCAGATAATGTCTGTGTACAGATACACTGTATGTGTCTCCCATGTATCTGCCTACAGATACACTGTTGATGTGTCTCCCATGTATCTGCCTACAGATACACTGTTGATGTGTCTCCCATGTATCTCCTACAGATACACTGTTGATGTGTCTCCCATGTATCTCCTACAGATACACTGTTGATGTGTCTCCCATGTATCTCCTACAGATACACTGTTGATGTGTCCCCCATGTATCTCCTACAGATACACTGTTTATGTGTCTCCCATGTATCTCCTACAGATACACTGTTGATGTGTCCCCCATGTATCTCCTACAGATACACTGTTGATGTGTCCCCCATGTATCTCCTACAGATACACTGTTTATGTGTCCCCATGTATCTCCTACAGATACACTGTTTATGTGTCTCCCATGTATCTCCTACAGATACACTGTTGATGTGTCCCCCATGTATCTCCTACAGATACACTGTGTATGAATCTCCTACAGGTACTCTTGAGTCAAGTTCATCGAGTCCGAGCTTTAGATTTGTTGGGCAGATTTCTAGACCTGGGCCCCTGGGCTGTCAACTTGGTAAGACAATTGTCTGTGTTTCCTGTCTGTATTGACCTGTGTTTCCTGTCTGTATTGACCTGTGTTTCCTGTCTGTATTGACCTGTGTTTCCTGTCTGTTATGACCTGTGTTTCCTGTCTGTATTGACCTGTGTTTCCTGTCTGTATTGACCTGTGTTTCCTGTCTGTATTGACCTGTGTTTCCTGTCTGTATTGACCTGTGTTTCCTGTCTGTATTGACCTGTGTTTCCTGTCTGTATTGACCTGTGTTTCCTGTCTGTATTGACCTGTGTTTCCTGTCTATATTGACCTGTTTCCTGTCTGTATTGACCTTTACTACATGACCTGTGTCCAGAATAGATCCGAGTCAATGACAGACTTGGATTGAACATATCATCTGTTTGCTTGATTGTGCACCATGGAAGTAATAACTTAGCACCTTCTTCTTCTCATTCACCAGCTGTGGACCGGTGGAAAGTTCTGGTTGTTCATCCACCTCTGGACTTAGTCTTGTTCCAGAACTTGAGTTTTGTCATCACATCTGTTTGACAGATTTGGCTTATTTGTAAGCAGACTGTTGGTTCCTGACATATCAAGAAGATGCACTGTGACTTGGAAGGAACGAAAACAACTGGCACAGCTGGAGGTATTAACATCCGTAGCAGCATTAACAAGACACGTATAGATTACCAGTGTTCAGACATTGTCAGCAGAGCCAGGGAATAAGGTGGGTGGGTGGGTGGGTGGGGAGTCAACAGTGTAATGAAACATGCATAAATTATCTTGTCTTCTGGCTAAACTCACAAGTGCATCCATTGATTGCAGGCTCTGTCAGTGGGCATCTTCCCTTATGTGCTCAAGCTGCTACAGAGCTCTGCCAAGGAGCTCAGGCCACTTCTGGTGTTTATCTGGGCCAAGATTCTAGCTGTAGACCAGGTAAGGGACCACATGAGTGAGCAGATACATGTCTGATTCTGTTAAATGTGTGTGAGACAGTGCGCCAGTAGAGACTGGGTGACTGCAATTTAACAAGTATATGTAATCAGTGTCAAACCATATACAAACTGGCGGAAGGCAGGGGAAACCACCGCTGTATTATCCCTAGTAAATCATGCCTCAAAATATTATGAATTCAGATAACGACGTGAATGGGGATTCCAGTGGAATCACCTCGTCTGGTAGGGAGCATCGTGTTCTATGGGTGATACCCGACCGTCATCCAGCTACTGTAGAAATAGTAAATGGTAGAAAAATCCCGAACATTGGTACATAGAATGTTAGATCACTTGTACAACATGGAAACCTGGATAACATCAAGATGGAAATGAAGAGAATGAATATCAACATATAAGGAATTAGTGAAATGGAATGGCCAGCAGCAGGGGAAAAAGTATTCAGATCAGCACAGAATTATTTACTCGGGTGGGAAGGAATATAGTAATAGAGTTGGTATTATGTTGGATCTAAGAACTCAAACACTGTGAAAGGATTTTGAACAATATCAGATAGAGTACTAATAGTAAAACTTCGCAGCAGACCGTTTCAAATTAGTACAGATTTATGCCCCAACAGCAGATAGTTCAGAAGAAGATATTGACGCATTTTATGACGAGTTAGACATGGCTGTTGATCAATGCAAAAACTGTAAAGTAACAATAGTACTTGGAAATTTCAACGCAAAAATAGGTGGTGAAAAAGTGTACAGAATAACCGGTGGCTATGGCCTAGGAGAAAAGAATGTGAGAGGTGACAGATTAATAGCCTGGGCTGAGTTGCACAGCATGATAATAAGTAACACCTGGCTTAAACACCATCCTCGAAGATTGTGGACTTGGAAAAGTCCTGGCGATAATGTCTGCAATCAGATTGATAATATTTTGATTTCAAGAAGATTCCGGAGCAGCTTAGTTGGAGCAAAAAACTAGACCAGGAGCAGACTGTTTTAGTGACCATGTTCCAGTTGTAGGAAAAATTAGAATAAAACTAAAGAACATTAGAAAAACACCACAGAACGTCAAGTTAAACTTAGTTCTTAGAATGGATAAAGAAATTATGGACCAGTACAATGTCACTGTACAAAACCGGTATAATGCAATGGAAATTATACAGACTATTGATGAACAGTGGAATATGTTGCGTGAGTCAATTCAGCAGACATCAAAAGAGACAATCCCACCAACCCATAGAGTTGCAAAAAAGAAATGGATGTCAACCAAAATTCTGCAGTTGATGGATGAAAGAAGGAAGAAAAGGAATGATAAAGCTCATAGTGTGCAGTATTGAGTGCTGGTATTAATGTTGTCTTCTTGCAGTCTTGTCAAGCTGATCTAGTCAAGGATAGTGGACACAAGTACTTTCTCAGTGTTCTTGCCGATCCTTCCATCGGAGTAAGTATTGTTTTCCTTCCATCGGAGTAAGTATTGTTTTCCAAACAGTGTTCTTGCCGATCCTTCCATCGGAGTAAGTATTGTTTTCCAAACAGTGTTTTTCCTCCATGAATTTAAACAATGTGGACACAAAAATACACTCCACAGTTTATTGCCAGGCATACTTTGCTGTGTCTTGTCAGGTGTGTTACTACAGAATCACATCAACATATACTGAAGCACAAAAACTGAATAAATTCCACAAAAGTGTGAATGGTTTCTTTCAAAACATTGTGTTTGTCTAGTTTCATTGTCTAGTTTCATCATTTAAGTATAGTTTGTTGAATATAGTCAAATCATTAGTTAAATATTAAACGGTGTGAGATAAAAATATGTGAGTACACTCATCCATCTGTTAGAGAGATGTGATACATGGGCTTTTCAGCCATCTAACTGTTTGAGAGATGTAATACAAATTCCGACAATTAAGTAATAAGACTGATTTTATAAAGGACTAGACAAAAGTGTCATCTTTGAAGCAAAGCATGGAATCCAATGAGGAATGCCTTCATCTATGATCTGGCAACTTTGCATCACCACCTGATAAGCAGACAAACAAACCGCCATTTTATTGACCTAGTTAGATGTGCATTGTTACAAAATCAGCATGGAGCAAAAAGCTAATATTAAATTCTGTTTAAAAACTCAAAAGAAGCGCCATTGAGACAGTTGAATTGATGCGACAAGTTTATGGGGATATTTGTTTATCCCGTGCACATTTTTTCAGGTGGTATTCACTATTCAAAAGTGGTGTAGAAATGATTACTAATGCGACTAGACCTGGCCTCCAAGTTTCTGTTTGTAATGAGGAACTCACTGCAAAAGTCAGAGAACGGATACAAGAAGATTGTTGTTTGACTGCGAGGAAAATGGCAGATGAATTTGATGTTAATAGAGAGATTCTTCGTAAAATTTTAATGCAAGATTTTATCCCCAAAAAAAGTTGCTTGCAGGTTTGTACCGCATACCTTGTCTAATGACCAAAAACATCAGAAGGTTGAATACCCACTAGACATCATCAAAACAGAATTTTTTGGCCCTGAAACAAGTGCGTGTTCTCAACCATCCACCCTATTTCCCAGATTTGTCTTCCTGTGATTATTTTATATTTCCAAAATTAAAGTTACCATTGAAAGGACGCTTCTTTGACAATATTGATGACATCCAAAGGGCCATAACATCGACTTTAAGGGCCATAGCAACTGAAGAACTACAAAGGTTGTTCCAGTGTTTGTTAGATCGTGCTACTCACTGTATCAATGCACAAGTGGCTTACTTTGAATAAAATACAGGTTATATCTTCAACTGTTGATTGTTTTAATTTTTATGGAATTAGAGTCTCAATACGTAATTGTCAGACCTTGTACATGAGCTTTTCAACTATCTAACTGTTAGAAAGATGTAATACATGAGCTTTTCAACTATCTAACTGTTAGAGAGATGTAATACATGAGCTTTTCAACTATCTAACTGTAAGAGATATGTATTACATGGGCTTTTCAACTATCTAGCTGTTAGAGAGATGTAAAACATGGGCTTTTCTACTATCTAACTGTTAGAGAGATGTAATACATGAGCTTTTCAACTATCTAACTGTTAGAGAGATGTAAAACATGGGCTTTTCTACTATCTAACTGTTAAAGAGATGTAAAACATGGGCTTTTCTACTATCTAACTGTTAGAGAGATGTAATACATGGGCTTTTCTACTATCTAACTGTTAGAGAGTTGTAATACATAGGCTTTTCAACTATCTGTTAAAAAGATGTAATATATGAGCTTTTCTACTATCTAACCGTTAGAGAGATGTAATACATGAGCTTTTCTACTATCTAACTGTTAGAGAGATGTAATACATGAGCTTTTCTACTATCTAACTGTTAGAGAGATGTAAAACATGGGCTTTTCTACTATCTAACTGTTAGAGAGATGTAATACATGGGCTTTTCTACTATCTAACTGTTAGAGAGATGTAAAACATGGGCTTTTCTACTATCTAACTGTTAGAGAGATGTAATACATGAGCTTTTCTACTATGTAACTGTTAGAGAGATGTAATACATGAGCTTTTCAACTATCTAACTGTTAGAGAGATGTAATACATGGGCTTTTCTACTATCTAACTGTTAGAGAGATGTAAAACATGAGCTTTTCTACTATCTAACTGTTAGAGAGATGTAATACATGAGCTTTTCTACTATGTAACTGTTAGAGAGATGTAATACATGAGCTTTTCTACTATCTAACTGTTAGAGAGATGTAATACATGAGCTTTTCTACTATGTAACTGTTAGAGAGATGTAATACATGAGCTTTTCTACTATGTAACTGTTAGAGAGATGTAATACATGAGCTTTTCTACTATCTAACTGTTAGAGAGATGTAAAACATGAGCTTTTCTACTATCTAACTGTTAGAGACATGTAATACATGAGCTTTTCTACTATCTAACTGTTAGAGAGATGTTATACATGAGCTTTTCTACTATCTAACTGTTAGAGAGATGTAATACATGAGCTTTTCTACTATCTAAGAGATGTTAGATGAGGATGTAATACATGAGCTTTTCTACTATCTAACTGTTAAAGAGATGTAATACATGAGCTTTTCTACTATCTAACTGTTAGAGAGATGTAATACATGAGCTTTTCTACTATCTAACTGTTAGAGAGATGTAATACATGAGCTTTTCTACTATCTAACTGTTAGAGAGATGTAATACATGAGCTTTTCAACTATCTAACTGTTAGAGAGATGTAATACATGAGCTTTTTTACTATCTAACTGTTAGAGAGATGTAATACATGAGCTTTTCTACTATCTAACTGTTAGAGAGATGTAATACATGGGCTTTTCTACTATCTAACTGTTAGAGAGATGTAATACATGAGCTTTTCTACTATCTAACTGTTAGAGAGATGTAATACATGAGCTTTTCTACTATCTATCTGTTAGAGAGATGTAATACACGAGCTTTTCAACTAACTGTTAGAGAGATGTAATACATGGGCTTTTCTACTATCTAACTGTTAGAGAGATGTAATACATGGGCTTTTTAACTATCTAACTGTTAGAGAGATGTAATACATGAGCTTTTCAACTATCTAACTGTTAGAGAGATGTAATACATGAGCTTTTCAACTATATAACTGTTAGAGAGATGTAATACATGAGCTTTTCAACTATCTAACTGTTAGAGAGATGTAATACATGGGCTTTTCAACTATCTAACTGTTAGAGAGATGACATACTTGGGCTCCTTTTTGACTGTAACACATGATGAAAAACATGTGTGCTAATTTATCATTTATCCCTCTAACTGTTAGAGAGATCACAGATACGGGTTTTTCATTCATCTCCCTATAAAAGAGGACATTCATGATCTTTTCAACCATCAAACTGTTAAAGGGATTATAGTGACGGTCTACATAGTTAGCTCTTTGAACTTTTAGAGACAGGCAATATGAAGGGAAGTCAATTAGTAAGTCACACATGTTTGTTTAAAAAACAACTTGAGACATGAACTGAAAACCATTTATTTGTACACATACACTGTCCCTTTTTTTTTTCTCAACATAATTTCCACCAACATTGATACACTTGTCCCATCATTTTATCAGTCTGCCCAAACCTGCTGCATAGAACTGCATGCTCTGTTTTCTAACCACATTTTCACTTCACATTAAACTTCTGCATCATTCGCGAAATGTCACCCACCAAGGTGGGTGTTCTGTGGACCAAAAAGGTGGAAATGGCTAGGGGCAGTCAGGGCTGGAAAGTGGATGTTCCAGAGGTTCCCACCCTAGATAAATGTCTCCTGAGTTAACTGGGCCATATATGGTCTGGCATTGTTATGGTGCCTGGACATTCTCTTCACATTGCATCATGAAGCATCAACAGAACTTCACAGTATCAATCAGTATTCACATTGTCATCTCTTTTTTAAAATTGGTTAAAAGCACTCTTTGACAATCCCAGAACACTGTCAAGATAAAGTTCCCTGCTGATGGCATGAACTTGCATTTTTTTAACATAAGGCAAAGAAGGATGTATCCACTGCATTGAAGCATGCATTATGTTGTATGATGAACCATTTGAGCACTCTGTTGCAGCTGCTACAGAATCAACTGTTACTGGCCTGTCACCTTTAATCATCTCCTGCACGGATGCCTTTGTTGCAATCTGTCCTTTGCAGCAGCCTGTTCCCCCCCACACCCCCCCCCCCCCCCCCAACTAAAAAAAACCCGCACAACAGCACGTTGTTTTGTGAGGAAACACTGTAAGAACGGTTGCCATTTTTTTCTGTGTTGCGAATGCACCTGCAACACCTAGCGCCATCTAACGAATGGAGACATAAAGTTTGCAGTTTCTGTTACCTAATGACACCTTTAGAAACCACCAACTACATTGTTCTGCTGTCCCATAACCATTTTTGACCTACTTATTGACTTCCCCTCGTACATTCTGTTAGTTAAAATAAAAATACTCACTGTGTCCACTGATAAGTGCATCTGACACTACATTTAGTAGTCTGTATCAATGGTGAATTCAAGTTTTCCAGTTTGAAACGTTTTATGATATTTGTAATATGCATACATGTTGTTGTCAGCAGCTTTCCGTTTTTCCTGAGGAAAGTGTTATATTCTGTGGGGAGGCATGGGAATCACAGTTCATGGCCATTGGAGCTTCACTCGTAGACACGCTCATACTGAGGAAAGTGTTATATTCTTCTGTGGGGAGGCATGGGAATCACAGTTCATGGCCATCGGAGCTTCACTCGTAGACACGCTCACACTGAGGAAAGTGTTATATTCTTCTGTGGGGGAGGCATGGGAATCACAGTTCATGGCCATCGGAGCTTCACTCATAGACACGCTCATACTGAGGAAAGTGTTATATTCTTCTGTGGGGGAGGCATGGGAATCACAGTTCATGGCCATCGGAGCTTCACTCGTAGACACGCTCATACTGAGGAAAGTGTTATATTCTTCTGTGGGGAGGCATGGGAATCACAGTTCATGGCCATCGGAGCTTCACTCGTAGACACGCTCACACTGAGGAAAGTGTTATATTCTTCTGTGGGGGAGGCATGGGAATCACAGTTCATGGCCATCGGAGCTTCACTCGTAGACACGCTCACACTGAGGAAAGTGTTATATTCTTCTGTGGGGGAGGCATGGGAATCACAGTTCATGGCCATCGGAGCTTCACTCGTAGACACACTCATACTGAGGAAAGTGTTATATTCTTCTGTGGGGAGATGGGAATCACAGTTCATGGCCATCGGAGCTTCACTCGTAGACACGCTCACACTGAGGAAAAGTGTTATATTCTTCTGTGGGGGAGGCATGGGAATCACAGTCACATCGGAGCTTCATGGCTCACACTGAGGAAAGTGTTATATTCTTCTGTGGGGGAGGCATGGGAATCACAGCTCGGAGTTCACGCTCGTAGACACGCTCACAGTGAGGAAAGTGTTATATTCTTCTGTGGGGAGGCATGGGAATCACAGTTCATGGCCATCGGAGCTTCACTCGTAGACACGCTCACACTGAGGAAAGTGTTATATTCTTCTGTGGGGGAGGCATGGGAATCACAGTTCATGGCCATCGGAGCTTCACTCGTAGACACGCTCACACTGAGGAAAGTGTTATATTCTTCTGTGGGGGAGGCATGGGAATCACAGTTCATGGCCATCGGCTTCACTCGTAGACAAGCTCACACTGAGGAAAGTGTTATATTCTTCTGTGGGGGAGGCATGGGAATCACAGTTCATGGCCATCGGAGCTTCACTCGTAGACACGCTCACACTGAGGAAAGTGTTATATTCTTCTGTGGGGAGGCATGGGAATCACAGTTCATGGCCATCGGAGCTTCACTCATAGACACGCTCACACTGAGGAAAGTGTTATATTCTTCTGTGGGGAGGCATGGGAATCACAGTTTCCATGGCCATTGGAGCTTCACTCGTAGACACGCTCACACTGAGGAAAGTGTTATATTCTTCTGTGGGGGAGGCATGGGAATCACAGTTCATGGCCATCGGAGCTTCACTCGTAGACACGCTCACACTGAGGAAAGTGTTATATTCTTCTGTGGGGGAGGCATGGGAATCACAGTTCATGGCCATTGGAGCTTCACTCGTAGACACGCTCACACTGAGGAAAGTGTTATATTCTTCTGTGGGGGAGGCATGGGAATCACAGTTCATGGCCATCGGAGCTTCACTCGTAGACACTCTCACACTGAGAAAAGTCTGCCACAATTAGAGCATGAGATTCCAGTACCATTGTTGCCATGACATGTGTTTAGTGTGAATCTCCTCACATGCTCAGCTGTCAACCTTTCTGCGGTATTTTTTCCTCCTTTATTTCTCTTCCCTTACTTGTGATTTCCCCCTTCCACTCAACATGGTCTGTCATTTTGTTCCCACAAATCTACCTCCTTACCTGTATCATTCCTATCCTGCTTGCACTCATCTTTATATCATTGTAGAAGCTGGCCTCAACATCTTTGAATTTGTAATTTGCCATAGAGGATGTGTTTAGAGACTCTACTAACCCCCAAGGGTGACCCAGCCACCTGAACCTTTACAGACTGAGCTTGGGCCTTCAGAGACTGACTGAGCATTGAGAAAACTGCAGAGATACCCGCTCTTTCTGTGATCTAGTCTTGCAGTTTTGGTGTCAGGTAATCTTCTTTAGCATCACATGTGAAAGCTTTTCAGCCATTTCCCCTGGCTGACCAAGTTTCACTACTGTAAAGAAGAATATGTATGCATACACCTGGCTGAATTACATGTGAATGCATCTGTTTGTATTACATATATAAATATCTGTCTGTTACAGGCAGAATACCGCACAATGGCAGCATTTGTAGTTGCAATCATCATGAACAACTATGCTCCAGGCAGAGTGAGTTATCACTTGTTTATACATTGCCATAGATCTGTTAGTACTTACAGATTTACCACTAGATTTGTGTGCTGACATATATCTGTGTAGTGATTTAATTACCACTAGATTTGTGTGCTGACATATATCTGTTTAGTGATTTAATTACTACTAGATTTGTTTGCTGACATATATCTGTGTAGTGATTTAATTACCACTAGATTTGTGTGCTGACATATATCTGTGTAGTGATTTAATTACCACTAGATTTGTGTGCTGACATATATCTGTTTAGTGATTGTACTAGATTTGTGTGCTGACATGACACTAGATCTGACATATATCTGTTTAGTGATTTAATTACTACTAGATTTGTGTGCTGACATATATCTGTGTAGTGATTTAATTACCACTAGATTTGTGTGCTGACATATATCTGTTTAGTGATTTAATTACTACTAGATTTGTTTGCTGACATATATCTGTTTAGTGATTTAATTACTACTAGATTTGTGTGCTGACATATATCTGTGTAGTGATTTAATTACTACTAGATTTGTTTGCTGACATATATCTGTTTAGTGATTTAATTACCACTAGATTTGTTTGCTGACATATATCTGTTTAGTGATTTAATTACCACTAGATTTGTGTGCTGACATATATCTGTTTAGTGATTTAATTACTAGTGTTTGTGACATTATCTGTTTAGTTTTACCACTAGATTTGTGTGCTGACATATATCTGTGTAGTGATTTAATTACTACTAGATTTGTGTGCTGACATATATCTGTTTAGTGATTTAATATACTAGATTTGTTTGCTGACATATATCTGTGTAGTGATTTAATTACCACTAGATTTGTATGCTGAGAATTTACTAGATTTGTGTGCTGACATATATCTGTGTAGTGATTTAATTACTACTAGATTTTTGCTGACATATATCTGTGTAGTGATTTAATTACACTAGATTTGTATGCACATATATCTGTTTAGTGATTTAATTACCACTAGATTTGTGTGCTGACATCATTATCTGTGTGATTTAATTACTACTAGATTTGCTGACATATATCTGTGTAGTGAGTGATTTAAGATTTGTTTTGCTTATATCTGTGTAGTGATTTAATTACTAGATTTGTTTGTGTGTGCTGACATATATCTGTGTAGTGATTTTAATTACCACTAGATTTGTGTGCTGACATATATCTGTGATTTTGTGTGCTGACATATATCTGTGTATTTAATTACTACTAGATTTGTGTGCTGACATATATCTGTGTAGTGATTTAATTACTACTAGATTTGTGTGCTGACATATATCTGTGTAGTGATTTAATTACTACTAGATTTGTGTGCTGACATATATCTGTTTAGTGATTTAATTACTACTAGATTTGTTTGCTGACATATATCTGTTTAGTGATTTAATTACTACTAGATTTGTGTGCTGACATATATCTGTGTAGTGATTTAATTACTACTAGATTTGTTTGCTGACATATATCTGTTTAGTGATTTAATTACCACTAGATTTGTTTGCTGATGCTGACATATATCTGTTTTAGTGATTTAATTACCACTAGATTTGTTTGCTGACATATATCTGTTTAGTGATTTAATTACTAGATTTGTGTGCTGTTTAGTGATTTAATACTACTAGATTTGTGTGCTGACATATATCTGTTTAGTGATTTAATTACTACTAGATTTGTTTGCTGACATACTGTGTATATTTAATTACCACTGATTTGTAGTGCTGACATATATCTGTTTAGTGATTTAATTACTACTAGATTTGTGTGCTGCATGTGTAGTGATTTAATTACTACTAGATTTGTTTGCTGACATATATCTGTGTAGTGATTTAATTACCACTAGATTTGTATGCTGACATATATCTGTTTAGTGATTTAATTACCACTAGATTTGTGTGCTGACATATATCTGTTTAGTGATTTAATTACTACTAGATTTGTTTGCTGACATATATCTGTGTAGTGATTTAATTACCACTAGATTTGTGTGCTGACATATATCTGTTTAGTGATTTAATTACTACTAGATTTGTTTGCTGACATATATCTGTGTAGTGATTTAATTACTACTAGATTTGTTTGCTGACATATATCTGTTTAGTGATTTAATTACCACTAGATTTGTGTGCTGACATATATCTGTGTAGTGATTTAATTACTACTAGATTTGTTTGCTGACATATATCTGTTTAGTGATTGATTTGTTTGCTGACATATATCTGTGTAGTGATTTAATTACCACTAGATTTGTGTGCTGACATATATCTGTGTAGTGATTTAATTACCACTAGATTTGTGTGCTGACATATATCTGTGTAGTGATTTAATTACTACTAGATTTGTGTGCTGACATATATCTGTGTAGTGATTTAATTACTACTAGATTTGTATGCTGACATATATCTGTGTAGTGATTTAATTACCACTAGATTTGTGTGCTGACATATATCTGTGTAGTGATTTAATTACCACTAGATTTGTGTGCTGGTAGTGATTTCTTCTTCTTCTTCGCTTTCACCAGCTGTAAACTCTGGTGGAAGGTTCTGGTTGCTCGTCCACTACTGAACTGCAGTCCTGCTCCAGAACCTGAGTGTTGCGTGTGCATCAGTTTTACAGATCTCATTCTCTTGAATACAGACTGTTGGTTCCTTAATTCTCAGGCAGATGCACTCCGACTTCAAAGGAAGCTCCCCAATTAGTCGACTCTTACGACATGCTTTTGCGGAGGCAGTGGGTCTATTCTTGTTTTCCCCACAATGGGGCCCCATGAAACCACACGGGGGTGTGCAGTGATTTAATTACCACTGTGTTTAAATGTTGAATTTATCCGTCTCTACTGATTATCGCTGGATTTATATGTTGGCATTAAAGTGCTTCTACATTGACATTGAATGACAATAAACATTGCTGCCCATCATACAATGGATCGCAAACTGTTCATCCCCGCATTGCCCAATGGCAGAAGTGGAAGTTGATGATGATGATGATGATATACAGCTATTTTTACTGATAGCATGTTGATCAATATTTTGCTTGCTGGAAATGTTTGAAATGGATAGGTATTTTGCTCTGTGTTTGATCAGAAATGTGATGAACAGACTTTGTTGTATTGTTTATGTTTCAGGAGGCAGCTTTGAATGACAATGCAATCTCCACCTGTTTAGAACAGCTGAGTGATCCGAACGCACACTTGCGACAGTGGTTAGCACTGTGTCTGGCCAAGGTACGGCTTATGAGAGCTGATTGTATGTAATTGTGATGTTTGATCTGGTAACATGTGTGTGATGAGGTCATTTGTTACTTGGTAACATGTGTGTGATGAGGTTATTTGTTACTTGGTAACATGTGTGTGATGAGGTCATTTGTGACTTGGCCACAAGATTGTTGTCAGCTTGATCCCTTAGCACCTTGCTAGCATATTTCTGGGGGTGAGGGGACACAGCATGCTTCTTTAGTGGGCCACAGTAAGGTTTGGGGGAGGGGGCACAGCATGCTTCTTTAGTGGGCCACAGTAAGGTTTGGGGGAGGGGGCACAGCATGCTTCTTTAGTGGGCCACAGTAAGGTTTGGGGAAGGGGGCACAGCATGCTTCTTTAGTGGGCCACAGTAAGGTTTGGGGGAGGGGACACAGCATGCTTCTTTAGTGGGCCACAGTAAGGTTTGGGGGAGGGGGCACTAACAGGTTTAAAGGGCCACAGTAAGGTTTGGGGGAGGGGGCACTAACAGGTTTGAAGGGCCACTAAAAGGTTTGGGGGAGGGGGCACTAACAGGTTTGAGGGGCCACAGTAAGGTGTTGGGGGGGGGGGCAGGGCAATGTCTGATGGGGTTACTGCAAGGTTTTGTGGGGTTACATTAGTGTTTAGAAGGGAACTGAAAGTTGTGGAGAGGACGGTGGGGGTGGTGCTGCAAGATTTTCTGGGGAAAGGCCACTGCAGGGGGAGAGGGGGGGGGGGGGCTATACTACATGGTTTGCTTTCACTCAGTCTTGCCAGCTGTGCATGCAGGGGTGAAAGGAAATGAAAAAGCCAACAGATGGGCCATGTCTTCAGTGTTTGGTAGAGGAAGAGGCACATGGAAAGGCCAGACAGACTTGAATGCACTACATTCAAGAGACTTTGAGACAAAGGTGTCAGACACAGTGAACCGCTTGTTGGAAATGTGTATTAAACTTGGACAGAGAATTATAAACCGCTTGTTGGGTAAAGAAAGAAGACATGCCAGTCAATACCTACTGGGTACATTGAGCATGCAGACACTGAGATGGCTGCTGCATTCAAGGACGGGGCATGTATGGGTCGCACTGATATGCTAAAATGTTGATACTGACAAATGACTTCATTATGTCTGCACACGACCAGGTGTCCACAGAATTGTTTTTTATAATTAGACTGGTTAAAAGGTCAAGTATTATCATTATCATGTGCCCTGCCATGCTGCAAAGATGCTCACGTCTCTCTACAGATCTCAGTTATTTTGAATCAGTTCTGCTGATGATATTCATCCATGCCATAGCTTCAGGCTGTCACGAAGTCTCTCTTGGTCTGCCTCTTCTGCCATTCATCTTTCCAGTCATCACAGTGTTCTCCAATGTCTCTCTTGGTCTGCCTCTTCTGCCATTCATCTTTCCAGTCATCACAGTGTTCTCCAATGTCTCTCTTGGTCTGCCTCTTCTGCCATTCATCTTTCCAGTCATCACAGTGTTCTCCAATGTCTCTCTTGGTCTGCCTCTTCTGCCATTCATCTTTCCAGTCATCACAGTGTTCTCCAATGTCTCTCTTGGTCTGCCTCTTCTGCCATTCATCTTTCCAGTCATCACAGTGTTCTCCAATGTCTCTCTTGGTCTGCCTCTTCTGCCATTCATCTTTCCAGTCATCACAGTGTTCTCCAATGTCTCTCTTGGTCTGCCTCTTCTGCCATTCATCTTTCCAGTCATCACAGTGTTCTCCAATGTCTCTCTTGGTCTGCCTCTTCTGCCATTCATCTTTCCAGTCATCACAGTGTTCTCCAATGTCTCTCTTGGTCTGCCTCTTCTGCCATTCATCTTTCCAGTCATCACAGTGTTCTCCAATGTCTCTCTTGGTCTGCCTCTTCTGCCATTCATCTTTCCAGTCATCACAGTGTTCTCCAATGTCTCTCTTGGTCTGCCTCTTCTGTCATTCATCTTTCCAGTCATCACAGTGTTCTCCAATGTCTCTCTTGGTCTGCCTCTTTCTGCCATTCATCTTTCCAGTCATCACAGTGTTCTCCAATGTCTCTCTTGGTCTGCCTCTTCTGCCATTCATCTTTCCAGTCATCACAGTGTTCTCCAATGTCTCTCTTGGTCTGCCTCTTCTGCCATTCATCTTTCCAGTCATCACAGTGTTCTCCAATGTCTCTCTTGGTCTGCCTCTTCTGCCATTCATCTTTCCAGTCATCACAGTGTTCTCCAATGTCTCTCTTGGTCTGCCTCTTTCTGCCATTCATCTTTCCAGTCATCACAGTGTTCTCCAATGTCTCTCTTGGTCTGCCTCTTCTGCCATTCATCTTTCCAGTCATCACAGTGTTCTCCAATGTCGCTCTTGGTCTGCCTCTTCTGTCATTCATCTTTCCAGTCATCACAGTGTTCTCCAATGTCGCTCTTGGTCTGCCTCTTCTGTCATTCATCTTTCCAGTCATCACAGTGTTCTCCAATGTCTCTCTTGGTCTGCCTCTTCTGTCATTCATCTTTCCAGTCATCACAGTGTTCTCCAATGTCGCTCTTGGTCTGCCTCTTCTGTCATTCATCTTTCCAGTCATCACAGTGTTCTCCAATGTCGCTCTTGGTCTGCCTCTTCTGTCATTCATCTTTCCAGTCATCACAGTGTTCTCCAATGTCGCTCTTGGTCTGCCTCTTCTGTCATTCATCTTTCCAGTCATCACAGTGTTCTCCAATGTCGCTCTTGGTCTGCCTCTTCTGTCATTCATCTTTCCAGTCATCACAGTGTTCTCCAATGTCTCTCTTGGTCTGCCTCTTCTGCCATTCATCTTTCCAGTCATCACAGTGTTCTCCAATGTCTCTCTTGGTCTGCCTCTTCTGCCATTCATCTTTCCAGTCATCACAGTGTTCTCCAATGTCGCTCTTGGTCTGCCTCTTCTGTCATTCATCTTTCCAGTCATCACAGTGTTCTCCAATGTCTCTCTTGGTCTGCCTCTTCTGCCATTCATCTTTCCAGTCATCACAGTGTTCTCCAATGTCTCTCTTGGTCTGCCTCTTCTGCCATTCATCTTTCCAGTCATCACAGTGTTCTCCAATGTCTCTCTTGGTCTGCCTCTTCTGTCATTCATCTTTCCAGTCATCACAGTGTTCTCCAATGTCTCTCTTGGTCTGCCTCTTCTGCCATTCATCTTTCCAGTCATCACAGTGTTCTCCAATGTCGCTCTTGGTCTGCCTCTTCTGTCATTCATCTTTCCAGTCATCACAGTGTTCTCCAATGTCGCTCTTGGTCTGCCTCTTCTGTCATTCATCTTTCCAGTCATCACAGTGTTCTCCAATGTCTCTCTTGGTCTGCCTCTTCTGTCATTCATCTTTCCAGTCATCACAGTGTTCTCCAATGTCGCTCTTGGTCTGCCTCTTCTGTCATTCATCTTTCCAGTCATCACAGTGTTCTCCAATGTCGCTCTTGGTCTGCCTCTTCTGTCATTCATCTTTCCAGTCATCACAGTGTTCTCCAATGTCGCTCTTGGTCTGCCTCTTCTGTCATTCATCTTTCCAGTCATCACAGTGTTCTCCAATGTTGCTCTTGGTCTGCCTCTTCTGTCATTCATCTTTCCAGTCATCACAGTGTTCTCCAATGTCTCTCTTGGTCTGCCTCTTCTGCCATTCATCTTTCCAGTCATCACAGTGTTCTCCAATGTCTCTCTTGGTCTGCCTCTTCTGCCATTCATCTTTCCAGTCATCACAGTGTTCTCCAATGTCGCTCTTGGTCTGCCTCTTCTGTCATTCATCTTTCCAGTCATCACAGTGTTCTCCAATGTCTCTCTTGGTCTGCCTCTTCTGCCATTCATCTTTCCAGTCATCACAGTGTTCTCCAATGTCTCTCTTGGTCTGCCTCTTCTGTCATTCATCTTTCCAGTCATCACAGTGTTCTCCAATGTCTCTCTTGGTCTGCCTCTTCTGCCATTCATCTTTCCAGTCATCACAGTGTTCTCCAATGTCTCTCTTGGTCTGCCTCTTCTGTCATTCATCTTTCCAGTCATCACAGTGTTCTCCAATGTCTCTCTTGGTCTGCCTCTTCTGCCATTCATCTTTCCAGTCATCACAGTGTTCTCCAATGTCTCTCTTGGTCTGCCTCTTCTGCCATTCATCTTTCCAGTCATCACAGTGTTCTCCAATGTCTCTCTTGGTCTGCCTCTTCTGCCATTCATCTTTTCAGTCATCACAGTGTTCTCCAATGTCTCTCTTGGTCTGCCTCTTCTGCCATTCATCTTTCCAGTCATCACAGTGTTCTCCAATGTCTCTCTTGGTCTGCCTCTTCTGCCATTCATCTTTCCAGTCATCACAGTGTTCTCCAATGTCTCTCTTGGTCTGCCTCTTCTGCCATTCATCTTTCCAGTCATCACAGTGTTCTCCAATGTCGCTCTTGGTCTGCCTCTTCTGTCATTCATCTTTCCAGTCATCACAGTGTTCTCCAATGTCTCTCTTGGTCTGCCTCTTCTGTCATTCATCTTTCCAGTCATCACAGTGTTCTCCAATGTCGCTCTTGGTCTGCCTCTTCTGCCATTCATCTTTCCAGTCATCACAGTGTTCTCCAATGTCTCTCTTGGTCTGCCTCTTCTGCCATTCATCTTTCCAGTCATCACAGTGTTCTCCAATGTCTCTCTTGGTCTGCCTCTTCTGCCATTCATCTTTCCAGTCATCACAGTGTTCTCCAATGTCGCTCTTGGTCTGCCTCTTCTGTCATTCATCTTTCCAGTCATCACAGTGTTCTCCAATGTCTCTCTTGGTCTGCCTCTTCTGTCATTCATCTTTCCAGTCATCACAGTGTTCTCCAATGTCGCTCTTGGTCTGCCTCTTCTGCCATTCATCTTTCCAGTCATCACAGTGTTCTCCAATGTCGCTCTTGGTCTGCCTCTTCTGTTATTCATCTTTCCAGTCATCACAGTGTTCTCCAATGTCTCTCTTGGTCTGCCTCTTCTGCCATTCATCTTTCCAGTCATCACAGTGTTCTCCAATGTCGCTCTTTTCATTTCATGACTGAAGAACACTGATAGTTTCTATCTTATAGTTAATTTGTTTTCTAATTTTATTAGCCATTTCCAGGCAGTCATCGTTAGACACTGGCTGTCTATGGTATCTATTCCAAGAATGCATTTGAGAAACCACATCTCCAGGGTCTTCAAGCTCTCCTCAGTTCATTCACATTCCAAGACTCACATCAGTGGTTTAACTTAACATTTCAGTACTCTTCTTCTTCTTCTTCTTCTTCTTCTTCTTCTTCTTCTTCTTCTTCTTCTTCTTCTTCTTCTTCTTCTTCGTGTTCACCCGCTACTTTGGCTTTTGATGTTTATGAGGGGTTCCAAAACAGGCACGAGATGGATGTGGCAGCACTTAATCTTGAGGATGCTTACAATATAGTTTTTGTCCCTGGCTTATGAACTGGATAACAGCTGTCCTGCATTCACATATGTTAGCCCTTCACCTGGGTACATGGACCTCAGAACCATGTAATTATGCCCCAGGACTACCCCAGGTTTTGCAATTTCACCAGGGCTCTTTAATGTGTATACAAGCAAGATGGCAGAACTTGAAGCAGCAGGTGTTGAAAGGATATTGACATTTGCTGATGATGTTCTTGCGTAAAGGCAGGGAAGTAGTAGGTAACGGATAGCCCAAGAGCTACAGGCAACTGTAGACAAAGTGACTGGCTGGTGTGCAGAAATGGCGGCTGTCATCAACTGAAAAAAAAAAGGTGGTTATTTTGTGGTGCTGTCTGGACAATAGAATTGTAAGAGCTGAGGTTCCAAGCCTCATAATTAATAACAAAAACATCAACAGAGAAGGAAACTGAGGTACCTGGGTATCATTTTTGATACATGCCTGTCCTATAGGGATCACGTGGAGGCAAATGCGGTGAAATGCCAAAAAAGGACTCCATGTTCTTAAGATTATGGCAACGAACATGGAACAAAGAATGTTGTTCACAATGTTCCAGCATGTGATCCTGTTAGTGATAGATTATGGACTTGGAATGCTTACTGTATCAAAGAGTCAGCTGATAAAACTTGAACGCATACAGAATGAAGCCATGCAGGTATTTCTGGGATGTACAAGAGATATCCCGATAGTATGTATGCATTATATACTTGCACAGCCTACTATTGCAGATAGGCTCAATGTTCTGCAAGCAAAGCTATATCTCAGAGTAGCTGCAGACAAGCAGCACCTCCTGCATGAAGCTCAGGGTAGAGCTGAGGGTCACAGACTGAAAAGAGAAAGGTCTTGGAATGCGCTAGTTGAAGACACAATCAGACTTGTGTGCAGGCTTGATAAATTTGTGCGAGCTGAGGAGTGGGTCAAAGTGTCCAATCAAGTTTCAGACTTATATAGGGTTCTTTGGGTCGTGAGTGCAGGGACTGGCCAGCAGGTGCTGCAGAATCAGAAGTTCAACAAATGATTCATGACAATGCTGACCCAAGTGATGTAATTATTTATACAGATGGCTCTGTGTTGAGGGGCAGACAAAGTGCATGGGAGTTCATAGCAAAAGGAATGGATGTCGTTAAGTGCAATAAAGCTTTGGCATATGATTTCACAATGTCTGGTTTGAGAATGGAGGTGGAGGCAGTCACTGCTCCATTTGGCTGGCTTGAGAATAAGCTGTACATACATGCCATGATTGTGACTCACAGAGCATGTTGAGAAAGGTGGTACAGGTGTGCCCCGTGCAGAGTGGCAAGCATCACTTCAGAGTTCCTGGGTAGTTAGCATTCTTTGAATATTCTCTCCGGGTGATCTGGGTGTGTTGAGAAATGAGCAAGCAGATAGACTGGCCGGTTCTGTACCACTTGGTGGGGAACTGATGTATGACAAGCTAGATGTTGCGAAGGCCTTCTGGGAGTGAGTGAACAGTGAGGAAGCGTAAATAGATCATTATGGTCTGAGGAGAATGGCGCTGCGAGGAGTTACTAGAGATCTGGCCAATGCTCAACACTCAAGGAAAAGGCGAGATAGATATACAGTCAGACAGTTACTGGTGCCATTGGAATTGGAACTCTTTGTTTGCTGCTGAAGGTGGGGATGGAGCGCTTAAGGGAGTGTCCTGAGTGCTATGATGTCCATTTTTAATTCAACATTCATCTTTTGAACCGCGACGTTTGCATGGCATATCCTTCTCTTAATGAATTGTTTTGATTCATTGGAGCATGGGAAGATAATGCGGTCATGTTTTGATCCACATGATGGTTTTCTAAATGTCCACTGGGTAAAAAGTCAAGTATGGGTCCACATAATGGTTCTGTAAATGTCGACTGGTTGAAAAGTCAAGTATGGGTTCTTAAAGTGTGCACCGTTCTGTAAGCTGTTTGTAGGTCACGATAGAATGGTATTTAAGGCATCAACCATGAAAGTCAAGTGTGGGTAATCTAGAATATTGGTCTAAAATCTGTCTACAGGTGTGGACCAGTTTTGATAACGCTCGCTGGTGCGGTGTACGAGATCATGCTCATGAAAAGCTGTCCAAGCTCCTCTCTGACCCTGAGCCTGAGGTCAGTATCATATGTTTGTTGAGCAAACAGTTGGGACAGGAAGTTGCTGCTTTCATCTGCTTGCGTTTTTACTTTATCTTAATACAGAATGGTGCAGAATTTCTTCTCAGATTTTGTGTTGGAAAAGATGATAACGCTGGACCCCCATGATGATAATGTCATCCTCCAAGATGATAACGCTGGACCCCCTTGATAATAATGCCATCCTCCAAGATGATAACGCTGGACCCCCATGATGATAATGTCATCCTCCAAGATGATAACGCTGGACCCCCATGATGATAATGTCATCCTCCAAGATGATAACGCTGGACCCCCATGATGATAATGTCATCCTCCAAGATGATAACGCTGGACCCCCATGATGATAACGCTGGACCCCCATGATGATAATGCCGTCCTCCCCCATGATGATAACGCTGGACCCTCATGATGATAATGCCATCCTCCAAGATGATAACGCTGGACCCCCATGGTGATAACGCTGGACCCCAAAGATGATAATGCCATCCTCCAAGATGATAACGCTGGACCCCCAAGATGATAATGCCATCCTCCAAGATGATAACGCTGGACCCCCATGATGATAATGCCGTCCTCCCCCATGATGATAACGCTGGACCCTCATGATGATAATGCCATCCTCCAAGATGATAACGCTGGACCCTCATGATGATAATGCCGTCCTCCAAGATGATAACGCTGGACCCCCATGATGATAATGTCATCCTCCAAGATGATAACGCTAGACCCCCATGGTGATAATGCCGTCCTCCCCTATGATGATAACGCTGGAACCCCATGATGATAATGCCGTCCTCCAAGATGATAACGCTGGACCCCCATGGTGATAATGCCGTCCTCCCCCATGATGATAACGCTAGACCCTCATGATGATAATGCCATCCTCCAAGATGATAACGCTGGACCCCCATGATGATAATGCCGTCCTCCAAGATGATAACGCTGGACCCTCATGGTGATAATGCCGTCCTCCCCCATGATGATAACGCTGGACCCTCATGATGATAATGCCATCCTCCAAGATTATAACGCTGGACCCCCATGGTGATAACGCTGGACCCCCAAGATGATAATGCCATCCTCCAAGATGATAACGCTGGACCCCCAAGATGATAACGCTGGACCCCCATGGTGATAACGCTGGACCCCCAAGATGATAATGCCATCCTCCAAGATGATAACGCTGGACCCCCAAGATGATAACGCTGGACCCCCATGATGATAACGCTGGACCCCCATGATGATAATGCCGTCCTCCAAGATGATAACGCTGGACCCCCATGGTGATAATGCCGTCCTCCCCCATGATGATAACGCTAGACCCTCATGATGATAATGCCATCCTCCAAAATGATAACGCTGGACCCCTATGATGATAATGCCATCCTCCAAGATGATAACGCTGGACCCTCATGGTGATAATGCCGTCCTCCCCCATGATGATAACGCTGGACCCTCATGATGATAATGCCATCCTCCAAGATTATAACGCTGGACCCCCATGGTGATAACGCTGGACCCCCAAGATGATAATGCCATCCTCCAAGATGATAACGCTGGACCCCCAAGATGATAACGCTGGACCCCCATGGTGATAACGCTGGACCCCCAAGATGATAATGCCATCCTCCAAGATGATAACGCTGGACCCCCAAGATGATAACGCTGGACCCCCATGGTGATAACGCTGGACCCCCAAGATGATAATGCCATCCTCCAAGATGATAACGCTGGACCCCCATGGTGATAATGCCGTCCTCCAAGATGATAACGCTGGACCCCCATGATGATAATGCCATCCTCCAAGATGATAACTCTGGACCCCCAAGATGATAATGCTGTCCTCCAAGATGATAACGCTGGACCCCCATGATGATAATGTCATCCTCCAAGATGTTAACGCTGGACCCTCATGATGATAATGTCATCCTCCAAGATGATAATGCTGGACCCCCATGATGATAATGCCGTCCTCCAAGATGTTAACGCTGGACCCTCATGATGATAATGTCATCCTCCAAGATGATAACGCTGGACCCCCATGATGATAATGCCGTCCTCCAAGATGATAACTCTGGACCCCCATGATGATAATGCTGGACCCCCAAGATGATAACGCTGGACCCCCAAGATGATAACGCTGGACCCCCATGGAGCTCATGTGGGGTTGGACTTGATGCAGTGACATGGGGTCATCAGGATAGTGTAACCAGCTCATTGACTGGACCTTTCTCCGATTGAGCACCTCTGTGATGTCCTTGGTCACAGGTTGTCAACAAACCACCCCTCTCCTATAGTTGTTGCTTCAGCAATGGCAAGTTGTTCCTGGGTATACTCTTAGCACCCTTGTGGACTTGATACATCTATGCACCCAGCCTTGCTGCAAACCGTAGTCATACCAGATTTGGAAATGTCTGTTTAAAGTCTTTTGTGTCACTTATAAAGATATGAAGATCAACGTAGACAAAACAGAAGTGATGACATTCTCCAGAAAAGGACGAACCATGAGAATCAAAATTGATGAATACCAATCAAAGCAGGCGTAGGATTTTATGTATCTGGGGAGCATTTTTTCACAAGCCGGAAAAATGAATAAAGAAATCCAAAAAAGATGCAATAAAGCCAATCAAGTTTTAGGCCAAATGTCACCAATTTTCAAATGCAAGTATGTGGATATGAACACTAAAAGAACACCGTTTACCACAATATTGTTACCATCGCTCTGCTATCTATGTCAAACATGGACACTGTCTTCCGAAGACAGAAGAAAAATAGTCACGACAGAAATAAAATGTTAACGTACTATGATGGGTGTAACGAGAAAATATAGTCTTAGGAATGATGATATCAGGAGAAGAATCGGCACAGAACCAATACTAAACTTCATAGACAACAAATTAAATGGTTTGGCCATGTAACAATATTGGCAGCAGACAGGGCCCCACAGAGAGCAGTGTTATACAGATACAGTGGTAACAGAACCACAGGTTTAACCACCCAGATAATGGACCGCAGAAATATAAGAAACACTGAAAAGTACTATATATAAAGCGAACAGAAGGGCTCGTTCCAGAGATCTCTTCCTCCCCTGATGCCGCCAGCCATTTGAAATATTTCTTTACATGACAATTTGTCAATCTGGTATTCATTAAATGCCGTTTTCATTTCTATTACCTTTGTTTATATCAGATTTGTTTTATGGTTTCAAATACGATTTTTGAAGGGGCCTCAAATTTTGACGTGTAGTATACATGTATGACCTGAAAGGCTGCAGACAGACATTTATTGACCACTACTGGTATTGTCTGTCCCACTATTTCGCCATGTCTGGTCTTCTGTCACACTGCTTCTGTTTGATGTCTGTACATGCTATCTTCAGCTGCTGAGGTGGTGGTTGTGCTGTTTGTGTGAGACAGTGTGTGCTATACTTGTTTCTGTTGGTTGTATTTACAAGTTATTTCTTCTAAACTGATGTCTATAATGGTGTTGAGAGGCAGACACGGGGGTTCCTAACCCTAGCCATTGGATGTTACATTGCTTAGTGCAACAAAGCCAGGCATGTGACATCACATCTCGTTTGAGAATGGGGGTGGAGGCAGTCACTGCTGCCTTCCGCAGGCTGGACACACATATTGTAATTGTAACTGAGCATGTTGAGAAAGGTGGAGACAGGCATGCTCCATGCAGAGTGGCAAGCATCACTTCAGAGGTCGCGGGTAGTTAGTGTCCTTTTGATATTTTTTCCAGGTGATTCAGGTGTATTGGGAAACGAGCAGGCAGATAGGCCGGCCAGTTCTTCACCACTTGATGGTGAATTGATACATAACAAGCCGGATGTTGTGAGGGCCCTTTGGGAGCGAGTGAACAGTGCAGAGACACTAATAGATCATTACGGTCTGAGGAGAATGGTGCTGTGAGGAGTTACCAGGAGATCTGGCCGACACTCACCATGCAAGGGAAATGCAAGACTGATAAACAGACAGACAGTTACAGGTGCCATTGGAACTGAAACTCTTTGCTTTGCCGCTGAATATGGGGATAGAGTGCTTATGTGAGTGTTCTGAGTGCTGTGATGTCAATTCCTAATTCAGCATTCAACAACATTAAACATTCAAATGATGTCTGTTTGATGTCTTTGCAGGTAAGGGCAGCTACAGTGTTTGCCCTGGGAACATTTGTCTCCAGATCGCTGGACCGCACTGACCATTCAGTGGCTGTAGATGTACATGTTGGTAACCTTCTAGTGACCTGTATAAATGATGGAAGCCCACTGGTCAGGAAGGTCAGATTGTCGTGTCATCTTCCATCGTCTCAGTCTTTGTCATCTACTGGTTTTTGTTGTCATCGATAATGATATCTGTTATGTTTTTCTGAGTTCGCAAATAAAAGGATGATTGTAGCACATTGTGTTGTGGTTTACAGTTAGACTGTGGTATCTGCACTTTTCCCCCCAACATATCTGATTCTTTTAACCGCTAAATAGTCGCCTTTTTCAACATTCGGGGGGGGGGGGGGGGGGGGGGGGGGGGGGGGGGGGGGGGTCTATTCCCCTCACACACACCCCCAAATAAAACCTGTTGGGGTACTATGTACATATTATGTGTATATGACTGGTAACTGTAACCTTTGTATATATATCTGTGCATATGCAGGTTATATGTGTAACTGTAATATATATGTGCATCCCTGTGTGGGGTCTGGGGCCCAGTGGTTTGGGGGAGGGGGGGGGGGGGTAAACCCACCAACCCCCAACAAGCATGTTGTAACAATAATTTGCATGCATAAAAGCCAGATCTGTAAAATGAATGTGCATGCAGAACTCAATGTCTGGAACACGACTGAAGTCCAGAAATAGTTGAACAACCAAAACCTGCTCCCAAAGTTTACAACCAGTGTATGCAAGAAGGAGAAGAAGAAATTTGTGTATGCAAGTTACATCTGTAACATTTGTGTGTCGTCAGGTTATATCTGTAACATTTGTGTGTCGTCAGGTTATGTAACATTTCTGCTCATGCAAGTTGTATTGTTTCTGGGATATATTTCCCAGCGGACATTCATCATCAATCCAGTCTGACAGAAGGCTGGTAGTCAAACTGCTTGGCTGTGTCTCTCCACAGTCTCCTGTTGTCAGCAAATCTCTTCACTTCTGTGTCATTCTCACCAGTATCCCTTCATGCTTGTGCAGTGAAGTTGTTTCCTGGACTTCTTCTCTCTTCCATTTGGATTTGTCACTCCAGACTCACGTGACCAGTTTAAACAGCCTACTATTGTTGTTTATTTATCTATACTAGAACAAAAAAAGACTTTTTTTTTTTGTCTTCAAATTTTGTGGGAAACACAGCAGTCATCCTTGTATAATTCTGTGAAACTTAACCCTGACAATCTAGAAGATGAGAAGAAGAAGCAGAAGAAATTTTCAGGTCAATTTAAACAAAAACTATCTAAGTGGTCAAACCCCTAGAACACTGAGAAGAGAGGCAAGCATGAATTCCTCTGTTTCTATTATGATAACATGTCTCCATCCTTAGAATTTGGGAAATGGTTTTCTCTCTATGTAAAGGGAAGTGGTTACTGAATATGACTATCACCACACCCATTCCTTCATTACAGAAATGATGTGACCATCACCACACCCTGTGATTCATTACAGTAATGATGTGACCATCACCACACCCTGTCATTCATTACAGTAATGATGTGACCATCACCCCACCCTGTCAGTCATTACAGTAATGATGTGACCATCACCACACCCAGTCCTTCATTACAGTAATGATGTGACCATCACCACACCCTGTCATTCATTACAGTAATGATGTGACCATCACCACACCCCGTCCTTCATTACAGTAATGATGTGACCATCACTACACCCAGTCCTTCATTACAGTAATGATGTGACCATCACCACACCCTGTCCTTCATTACAGTAATGATGTAACCATCACTACACCCTATCATTCATTACAGTAATGATGTAACCATCACCACACCCTGTACTTCATTACAGTAATGATGTGACCATCACTACACCCTATCATTCATTACAGTAATGATGTGACCATCACTACACCCAGTCCTTCATTACAGTAATGATGTAACCATCACTACACCCTGTCAGTCATTACAGTAATGATGTGACCATCACCACACCCTGTCAGTCATTACAGTAATGATGTGACCATCACCACACCCTGTCAGTCATTACAGTAATGATGTGACCATCACCACACCCTGTCAGTCATTACAGTAATGATGTGACCATCACTACACCCAGTCCTTCATTACAGTAATGATGTGACCATCACCACACCCTGTCCTTCATTACAGTAATGATGTGACCATCACCACACCCTGTCATTCATTACAGTAATGATGTGACCATCACCACACCCAGTCCTTCATTACAGTAATGATGTGACCATCACTACACCCAGTCCTTCATTACAGTAATGATGTAACCATCACTACACCCTGTCAGTCATTACAGTAATGATGTGACCATCACTACACCCTGTCAGTCATTACAGTAATGATGTAACCATCACTACACCCTGTCAGTCATTACAGTAATGATGTAACCATCACCACACCCTGTCAGTCATTACAGTAATGATGTAACCATCACCACACCCTGTCAGTCATTACAGTAATGATGTAACCATCACCACACCCTGTCAGTCATTACAGTAATGATGTGACCATCACCACACCCTGTCCATCATTACAGTAATGATGTGACCATCACCACACCCTGTCCATCATTACAGTAATGATGTGACCATCACCACACCCTGTCCATCATTACAGTAATGATGTGACCATCACCACACCCTGTCAGTCATTACAGTAATGATGTAACCATCACCACACTCTGTCCATCATTACAGTAATGATGTAACCATCACTACACCCTGTCAGTCATTACAGTAATGATGTAACCATCACTACACCCTGTCAGTCATTACAGTAATGATGTGACCATCACCACACCCTGTCAGTCATTACAGTAATGATGTAACCATCACCACACCCTGTCCATCATTACAGTAATGATGTGACCATCACCACACCCTGTCCATCATTCCAGTAATGATGTGACCATCACCACACCCTGTCCATCATTACAGTAATGATGTGACCATCACTACACCCAGTCCATCATTACAGTAATGATGTGACCATCACCACACCCTGTCCATCATTACAGTAATGATGTAACCATCACTACACCCTGTCCATCATTACAGTAATGATGTGACCATCACTACACCCTGTCCATCATTACAGTAATGATGTAACCATCACTACACCCTATCCATCATTACTGTAAACTTCTTCCTCTTCTTCTTGTTCACTGGCTGTTAATTCTGGCGGAAAGTCCCGGTTGTTCATCCAATTGGACTTTTGGCTTTTACCTGGACCTGAGTTTTGCGTGTACAACCGTTTTACTGGCTTATTTGTTTGCAGTTCCCATTCCCCCCCCCCCCCCCCCCCCCCCCCCTCCCGGCAGAGGTACTCTGACTTTGGGGGAATTACAATAATGATACGACCATATTTATATTTCTGGAACACATGCCTTCGTTTAAGAAACACAGGCACCTTTCAGTTGCTAAAACTTTTATTTTAGGTGCACATTTAGATTTCAGTTGCACATTTAGATTTCAGTTGCACATTTAGATTCCAAGAGCACATCTAGTTTTCAGGTGCACATGTTTATATTTCACATGTCTGATATTTCAGGAGCTTGTGGTGGCCTTTGCTGGGTATGTGTCTGTGTACATCTCACAGTTTGTGAACCTGGTGAAGCGAATCCTGGAGGAGGAGAAGGAGAGGATGGCCATGTCTCTGGATATGGCAACTCTGCAGGCTCACAAGGAATTACACAGGCCACAGGGTAACTGTTTCTGTTGGTAGTTTATGGAGTAGTTTGTCAGTATGGAGTAGTTTGTCAGTATAGAATAGTTTGTATGGAGTAGTTTGTCAGTATGGAGTAGTTTGTCAGTATGGAATAGTTTGTCAGTATGGAGTACTTTGTCAGTATGGAGTACTTTGTCAGTATGGAATAGTTTGTCAGTATGGAATAGTTTGTCAGTATGGAGTAGTTTGTCAGTATGGAATAGTTTGTCAGTATGGAGTACTTTGTCAGTATGGAGTACTTTGTCAGTATGGAATAGTTTGTCAGTATGGAATAGTTTGTCAGTATGGAGTAGTTTGTCAGTGTGAAGTAGTTTGTCTGTCTAGAGTAGTTTGTCTGTATGGAGTAGTTTGTCTGTATGGAGTAGTTTGTCTGTATGGAGTAGTTTGTCAGTGTGGAGTAGTTGTAAGTGTGGAGTAGTTTGTCTGTATGGAGTAGTTTGTCTGTATGGAGTAGTTTGTCTGTATGCAGTAGTTTGTCTGTATGCAGTAGTTTATCAGTATGGAGTAGTTTGTATGGAGTAGTTTGTCTCTATGGAGTAGTTTGTCTGTATGGAGTAGTTTGTCTGTCTAGAGTAGTTTGTCTGTCTAGAGTAGTTTGTCTGTCTAGAGTAGTTTGTCTGTGTGGAGTAGTTTGTCTGTGTGGAGTAGTTTGTCTGTGTGGAGTAGTTTGTCTGTGTGGAGTAATTGTAAGTGTGGAGTAGTTTGTCTGTATGGGGTAGTTTGTCTGTATGGGGTAGTTTGTCTGTATGGGGTAGTTTGTCTGTATGGAGTAGTTTGTCTGTATGGAGTAGTTTGTCTGTATGGAGTAGTTTGACTGTATGGAGTAGTTTGTCTGTATGGAGTAGTTTGTCTGTATGCAGTAGTTTGTCTGTATGCAGTAGTTTGTCTGTATGCAGTAGTTTGTCTGTATGGAGTAGTTTGTCTGTATGGAGTAGTTTGTCTGTTTGGGGTAGTTTGTGTATGAGTGCATGTGCCTGCATATATATGTGTGTGTGTGTGTGAGAGAGAGAGAAACATGTGTATATGGATGACTATAAGTGTGTGTGTACAAGCTTGGGGTGTGTATGTATCCAGAATGAGGGCTGTGAAGAAGCAGTGATGGTGTGTGGTCACCATTTGAAGCTGGACTATATCTCCCAGCTGCTGCAAACTGATACTTAAATGTCCGTCTGTACAGCAGATTCAATAACCTAAAAGAAATCATCATGTTGACTTGTTTCATGAAGTCTGCGGTCCTGAGCATTCAGTGATGACATACCCATTGGTCTTGGGAGTGTCCTGGTCTAGTCACAAGCTTACAGGTTGCTGTGCTCTAGTCCCCACCCATGCATCTGTTCGTCATGGAAGACACTGCCAGAGGCTCTGATACCTTCAGCATAGCTCTAAAAGGTCATCAGAACATGCAGTTTTCTGTACCCCACAGTAGGCAATGACACAGAAGAGGGTACATGATTGATTCAACACTGCATAATGATGTCCATAGTTTTAGAGAATAGATTTAACATCTGCAGTGTTTGCTATCTGACACCTTACATACCCTGATGACAGTCTGTTGGCCATCCCATAACCCGCCCAGATTTAACATCTGCAGTGTTTGTTGACACCTTACATACCCAGATGACAGTCTGTTGGCCATCCCATACCCCGCCCAGATTTAACATCTGCAGTGTTTGCTATCTGACACCTTACATACCCTGATGACAGTCTGTTGGCCATCCCATACCACGCCCAGATTTAACATCTGCAGTGTTTGCTATCTGACACCTTACATACCCTGATGACAGTCTGTTGACCATCTCATACCCTGCCCAGATTTAACATCTGCAATGTTTACTGACACCTTACATACCCTGATGACAGTCTGTTGACCATCCCATACCCCGCCCAGATTTAACATCTGCAGTGTTTGCTATCTGACACCTTACATACCCTGATGACAGTCTGTTGGCCATCCCATACCCCGCCCAGATTTAACATCTGCAGTGTTTGCTATTTGACACCTTACATACCCTGATGACAGTCTGTTGGCCATCCCATACCCCGCCTAGATTTAACATCTGCAATGTTTACTGACACCTTACATACCCTGATGACAGTCTGTTGGCCATCCCATACCCTGCCCAGATTTTGCATTATTTTGTTTTGTTTCTTGTGTTTGTACTTTATTTTTAGCAGAACTGCAGATGGAAACCATGATAGGAGAGCTGGCTGATCCTGTTTTTTGACCTCTCATTTGTTGAAATTATGTTTCAAATCCCATATTTAGTTTCACTGAGAATTTCATGAACCCCTTGTTTAGTTGAAATTATCATGAGCTTGAAGCAACCATTTAATGAGTGTGATTACCATCTTTGATTGAAAACATATGAACATCCATAATAACCAGAGAGCTTGACAGAAATAAAGATACAAACACAGCCGACCATTTCCACTGGTCTTTTGCAGTTATGCTTTACTTGTGTGATTCCTGCATGGATGTCCGTTGTGAGCTAATAATTTGGTTTTACTTTTCAAAATACTTTAATCAGATTTTTAAACTGAATATGTGTCAAGCTCGCTGGTCGTTAAGTGTTGGAAGTAAGCCAGGTGGCTATGTGACTTGGGCAGCTTTGAACTAACACAGCACAATTCTAACTGGTCACACCATCTGACCAAGTCCATCTGTTGCTTGCTAGGGAAACCAGAGCTTTCGTCTGCTAATATTTGAGTCATTAGTTTGAGAATGTTGCCAATTTGAGTTTACTTGATTTCATACCCCCCTTGTACACCATTTTCCCTTTTCAGATAGTTTTGCCAGTGGTGGAATGAAACTAGGTCACTCACGAGGCAGTTTTAAGACTTTGACCACCTGTAAGCTTTGGCTTCCTGCACTAATTTTCTACTTTGGCTGTTTGTATATTTATTTTCTGACAAACCTTTGGCCTTGAACAACACCTCTCAGTGTAGTACAGACTGTTTGTGGCTTTGCTTTTGAGTTTGGCACAGACAAGCAGTTACTATGCGACAGCTTGTCCTGGCTACTGCTGGTGTTCGTTACTTTCCCTGTATCTTCTTGTGTCTTTCCTTTGTTGTTGTTTATTTATTTCTGTGTCTGTCCTGGTGTCAGTGTCTTCCCTTGTCAGTTGTTAGTGTGTAAGGTTTGTTGTATGACTCATTCCTGACTGTTTTTTATGTGTGAAAACTGCCACTGTTTGTGTCACAATGTTCCCTGTCAGTTATTGCTTGATGGTTTTTCAAAGCTGTAGTTTATGGGCACTTTCACATGTCTGGTGTTAGTGTTTTTTAACCTCCAAAGTCTGTTGTTTGTGTTTGTTGACTTCTGTCTGTTGTTGGTGTTTTGAGTTTCCCTGCATGTTATTATTGTTTTTTTTTAGATTTTTCAGAACAACTCACTACCTCCGGCCCCAAACACGACGTGATTGGGCAATCATTCATCCTTCAGGACCTTTCACACGCCCGACTCTATGTCACAGGGGTGTCAGGTTGTTTTGTTTTGTATGGTGGCGAGCGACAAGGAGGGTACCATTGCTTTTCTGGAACAACTCAGCGTTTTGGGGCCACCGCAAAATGTTAAGAATTCTGAAACCACGGGGCGTAGCATGCACTCCCTCATGGGACCTAGGCTGTACCCTAGGGGGATTAGAGTTTAGGCCAGTTGTAAATGTTATGGGGTCATTAAAAGTTGCAGTAACACCATGTAGTATGGAACACAGGATATTGCCACTGATAGTGAAGGAAACTGTGCAACCTGACACCCCTGTGACATAGTCGGGCGTGTGAAAGGTCAGGAAGGATGAATGAACAAGCAGTCACATTGTGTTTGGGCCTGAGTTAGTGAGTTGTACCGAGTTTTTAGTGATTGTTGTAACAACATAGCTCTGACAAAACTTCATTTTAAAAGGAAGGTTGATGGCTAAAATTAAGGTAACTAATTAGACTCAGTGATACATTGACAGTGTTCCTGGCAAATCACTTGTTTGATGTGATAACCACAGTTGTGGCATTAACAAAATAATCAGTGATGATAAGGTTAGCATATGTTGTATAATGATAAATGAACTATGTTGGACAACTTCTTTTTGTATGTCATTTATGCTTTAAACAAAGCTATTCATACTCTTAGATGTCATTGATTCTTCTATTAGATGTCATTTAAACATCTTTTTGATGTAATGTATACTTATTTTTGACGTCGTGATCTTTCTGTTTGATGTCTGATGTTTGTGCCTGTTGTTAGCGGCTGAAGGTTTGCATTTTCTGTCACTTGCTGGCTTTGCTTGCTTGAACATATTACTGCTGCCAGGTGAACAAATCAATAATTGACATTTGATTCATAAATAGGAAATATTGCCTCGATGGAAATGTTCCTTCAAACAATTTTTGGCAAGAAATGAAAAACTTTTTTCATGAGAGTGATGTCAGAATGTGAGAGATGTTCAGCTGACAGCATCTGGCTTGCTGATTCAAGTCTTATGATTCTTTTTATTTTTTTGTTTTTCTATATTTGTGTCATCCTACTGAGTCTCAGAAATCTGGCCATGGGCTACGCTTTCAGAAAGTGTGAGAAACAGTTGATAGTTTGTCTCAGAGACTTTGTTTCTGGACTATATTTGGCACTCCACACAGCCATATATGCTTTGTCTCTCTTAGTGGTTCACCGTGTATATATTGATTTGTTTTGAGTAACATATTGGTTTGTTCTACCTAACAACCTTCTTTACTGGAACCAAACTTCAATCCAGGATCAGGCACATATAAATATGATGTTTCATAGTTGCATATGTTATTTTGTTTCAACTAGCATTTCTTAGAAAGTCTTGATAGTGTCAGCATATCTCCCTTGTCTACATGGTTTAGTCTTAATAGTGTCAGCATATCTCCTTTGTCTACATGGTTTAGTCTTAATAGTGTCAGCATATCTCCCTTGTCTACATGGTTTAGTCTTAATAGTGTCAGCATATTTTCCTTGTCTACAGGGTTTAGTCTTAATAGTGTCAGCATATCTCCCTTGTCTACATGGTTTAGTCTTAATAGTGTCAGCATATCTCCCTTGTCCACATAGTTTAGTCTTGATAGTGTCAGCATATCTCCCTTGTCCACATGGTTTAGTCTTGATAGTGTCAGCATATCTTCCTTGTCTACATGGTTTAGTCTTAATAGTGTCAGCATATCTCCCTTGTCTACATGGTTTAGTCTTGATAGTGTCAGCATATCTCCCTTGTCTACATGGTTTAGTCTTGATAGTGTCAGCATATCTCCCTTGTCCACATGGTTTAATCTTGATAGTGTCAGCATATCTCCCTTGTCCACATGGTTTAGTCTTGATAGTGTCAGCATATCTCCCTTGTCCACATGGTTTAGTCTTAATAGTGTCAGCATATCTCCCTTGTCTACATGGTTTAGTCTTAATAGTGTCAGCATATTTTCCTTGTCTACAGGGTTTAGTCTTAATAGTGTCAGCATATCTCCCTTGTCTACATGGTTTAGTCTTAATAGTGTCAGCATATCTCCCTTGTCCACATGGTTTAGTCTTGATAGTGTCAGCATATCTCCCTTGTCCACATGGTTTAGTCTTGATAGTGTCAGCATATCTTCCTTGTCTACATGGTTTAGTCTTAATAGTGTCAGCATATCTCCCTTGTCTACATGGTTTAGTCTTGATAGTGTCAGCATATCTCCCTTGTCTACATGGTTTAGTCTTGATAGTGTCAGCATATCTCCCTTGTCCACATGGTTTAATCTTGATAGTGTCAGCATATCTCCCTTGTCCACATGGTTTAGTCTTGATAGTGTCAGCATATCTCCCTTGTCTACATGGTTTAGTCTTGATAGTGTCAGCATATCTCCCTTGTCTACATGGTTTAGTCTTGATAGTGTCAGCATATCTCCCTTGTCTACATGGTTTAGTCTTGATAGTGTCCGCATATCTCCCTTGTCCACATGGTTTAGTCTTGATAGTGTCCGCATATCTCCCCTGTCCACATGGTTTAGTCTTGATAGTGTCCGCATATCTCCCCTGTCAACATGGTTTCTTCCAATAGTCTGGATAGTGTCAGCATATCTCCCTTTTTGAACATGGTTTCTTAATAATATTCTTGATATTGTCAGCATGTCTCCCTTGTCTACATGGTTTAGTCTTAATAGTGTCAGCATATCTTCCTTTTTCCACATGGTTTCTTACAATAGTCTTGATAGTGTCAGCATATCTCCCTTTTTCCACATGGTTTCTTACAATAGTCTTGATAGTGTCAGCATATCTCCCTTGTCAACATGGTTTCTTACAATAGTCTTGATAGTGTCAGCATATCTCCCTTGGCCACATGGTTTCTTACAATAGTCTTGATAGTGTCAGCATGTCTTCCTTGTCCACACAGTTTCTTACAATGGACTTGATAGTGTCAGCATATCTCCCTTGGCCACACAGTTTCTTACAATAGACTTGATAGTGTCAGCATATCTCCCTTGGCCACACAGTTTCTTACAATAGACTTGATAGTGTCAGCATATCTCCCTTGGCCACACAGTTTCTTACAATAGTCTTGATAGTGTCAGCATATCTCCCTTGTCCATCCTAATGCCTATTTAAAAGTAGTCCCATACAGGTACTGCCATTAGGATGTAAGTTATTATTGCCACATGACATTCTTGACTTGCATTCATGAGATTCATTTTGGAGATAATGAATAGACTCACTGCCCCCCAACAAACTAGTTCCAGGAGGCCATTCATTAGGAGTGTTTCCTTTCCAGTTGGGGTGCATCTACCTCAGAGGTGACCAATTAACAATCTGCATACAAATAAGTCAGATCTGTAAAACGGATGTACACACAAAACTCTAGTTATGGATCAAGAGCAAATTCCAGGAGTGGACTAACAACCAGAACTTGTTTCTGTAGTTTAGAGCAGGTAAACACTAGAAGAGGAGGACATTGATGACACATTCACAAGGGTGGCCAGAGACCTCACCTTTCCTTTCCAGACATTTGTCTAGTTTCAGTTTTCACAAGGGTGGCCAGAGACCTCGCCTTTCCTTTCCAGACATTTGTCTAGTTTCAGTTTTCACAAGGGTGGCTTGACCGGGCTCCATTAGGGGGAAAACCAGAATAGACCCAGTGCCTAGCTAACATGTCATTTCCTTGCAAGTCGGAGTGCATCTGCCGGATCTGTACAATACATTGCATGCAATGCTCACGTTCTGGGACAAGACTCCAGTCCAGAAATAGACGTACAGCCAGAGCTTTCTGCAGGAAACCTGCAGAAGAAGAAGTATTAGTTGGAAAATGTTAATTCTGCCTCTGTTGGGACATGTCAGGCACGTGCACTTGCCATTACAATATGAAAGTGTCAGTATTTTACTGTGGTGTTGTATGTAAGTTGTACCCCACCAGGACATCACACAAAGCAATAGACACCCAGTGACACAAAGTGCCGCCATGTGAGGATCACCCGTGGAGAGGTCCCAGAAAGCCGGTTCAGCCGTCAGGCCATATTTATGGCCCGTCTATATTTAGGGCTCCTGGCAAAAGCCAGGGTGAGGCTTCAGATAACAAAAAATTGCATTCCACATGGGGACGACATTTTGTGATATTTAGTTTTTTCAGTTTAATTCTAGTCCTACTTGTTGACTGTGTCCAGTAACAGCCTCAGCTTATTGTTAGTCTGCTTTATCTAAAGTCACAGCTCTACCAACTGCACACCTTCTTTAACCAGAGGAAAACAGATGTGTTTGTCATAGGTTGTACAAACATTTAGACAAATGGAAACTAGGTCTCACGAGTTGCTTCCCTTCGCCGCAGTCTCTTGGCAGCAGACTCTAAGCCAGTCCTTTGGCCACAGTTTTCTTGTCACAC